GGAACAGCCTGCATTTTCTCAGCCTTTTGTTGTTCTCCTTGGTGGCTGACAGGGTCTCTGGTTCTCTCTCTCTGAAGTTGGGACCCAGCAGTGGAACTATGTGGTTGTTCTTTTGTGAGCATGAGATCTTCCTTGAGGTTAAGAGCATGGGACACACAAGTGAACCTTCTTTAAGATGGTGTCTGTAGTCCATCATAGTCTAGTATTACTTCTAAACCTGTTTCGGATATTAGACTTTAAATTCACAAGAGCAATGGCCCTGATTATCTTACGCAGCAGTGTACCTTTTTATATGTGTGTATCTTGTGTTTAGTTGTGTTTGTTGACTATAATGAATGAGTGAGTTGATCAATGTGGCTGAACAAGTTTGACTAGAGGTCTATGGATCCTAAGAACATACTATGTAAGATAATTTAAGATAATTGTTTTAAGTTTGGGGAATAACATATAAACTTAAAAACAAAACAGAATCTCATGTAACCTGAGCTGGCCTTGAACTTCCTATGTAACTAAGGATGACCTTGAACTCCCGATGCCACTTTCTGCTACTTCCTCCAAAATGCTGTGATTACAGGTATGTTTTGATAGGCCTGGTTTCTGCAATGCTGGGGAACAAATCTAAGACTTTATGCTTGCTGGGCAAGCATGCTATCAACTGAGAGATACATCCAATTCATGTGTGTATTTTTCAATTAAAATACTGCAATCAATATGAGAAAATGGAAAGAAAAATCAAAACAAATCTTTTTGTTCAGGTGACACAAGGTCATTGTTTTGGTTATTTTTTGCAGATTCCTTTCTTGCTTCACTTGGTCCCAGTGTTCATTTGTGCTACTAGCCTGCTCCTTCTCTGTCTTTTGAACTTATTTTATAACACACTTTGCACATGCATGGGGCATTCCTGCTCTAACCTTCTCCTTTTCCTCTTGTGTGGATTGAACCCTCTGGTTCTTTGGCTTACCTTATCATTGAATCCAGTTCTGATAATATGGAACACTGTCTGGACTGTCCCAGGAACCTCTCCCTGGGCTTAATCACTGTGGCTTCCACTCAGGTTTTGGGCCACAGCAAGGTGTGTGGAAGCATCCTGATCAGCAATACTCCTATGCTTTGATAGTTCTTGATAGTTCCAAGGCAATTTTGCTGAGCTGCACTGGAACATAACATGAGTTTCCAGTGGAAACCCAGGAGGCAGCATTCACATCTGAGCACATTGTATGTCCCTTGTACAATTCTTCATCATTGCCACAGACCAAAATCGTTTTCAGTCTCTGGTGCTGAACTCCCTGAATTGTTTTGTTATTGGCATAAGAAATGGCTATCATATTTGACCAAGTCATGTGCTATCTTTGGACATTTAGCTACCTGATGTGGGAATGGTATTTTCTTAATGTGAGAAAACCATTAGAGGCAGGGTGATCTTCAGTTATTTCAGGATCTGGGGCATTGTCATTGCAGGCTGGTGGGTGATTCTAGAAGTTTCATTGTTTTCTAATAGAGCTGTGACTTAAACACTCAAAATTCTGTCTCACCAGTTGAAGAGAGTAGAATAGAAGTACCTTAGGACTGTCATCTTCCCATTCTGGCATGTTTTCCCACCAGTCTGGTCCCAGAGCTGTGCCATCCCCAAATAACACACAGAGACACTATATTAGATATAAAGCTGTTGGCCTGTTACTAGTCTGTCTTAAATATTAACCCATTTCTATTAATCTAAGTATTTCCATGTGGACTTATCTTACCAGAGAGAGTTCTGCTCTCTCCGTTCTACACATTGAATCTCCTACTACCTATCCCCAAATCTTCTTGTCTCCTAGTCCTGTCTGTCTTGCTCTCCTATTGGCCAATAGGGCTTTATTTATTAACCAATAAGAGAAACATATTTACAGAATGACATCTCCCATCATCTCCTCTTTTCTGTCTAAAAAAGAAGGGTTTTAACCTTAACATAGCAAAATATATAACAAAAATAGTTATAAAATAAGAACCACAGTTAACAATATTTAGTCTATTAACATTTAGCAAGATTTAAAGAAAATATTTCATCTATCTTTGTGACTCTAAAGTCCTATATGTAACTTATCTTTAATCCTAACTAAGGAAAACTATAACCATAATTATCTGTCTTCAATTCCATCAAAGATGACAGAAGGATAATATATAAACTCTAGAAATGACAGAGACAAATCACTACCTGGTCAGTCATCCAAAGTTCTTCTGTAATGTTTCATCTTTAGCCTATAGGCCATAGTGTGCCTGGCAGACTCCTCAGCAAAGCAAGAAACTTTAAACTGTCCTCCTGTATTGGCAGTTTGTCAGTCACTTTTCTCTGTGTCCCATAGAATGTCTGGAAGACTCTTCCATGAAGCAGGGACCCTGTAGCAATGTCCATCTTGTATCAGCAGTCACTTTTCTGTGGGTCCTGCATGCTCAGTTTATACAATATAAAATCTTGTCCAAATGGCTAGTCTTGCCATATTGGAAATAAAGTCCATAACACGTTTCTTCGATGCCCATCTTCCTTTCTGACACAGGTGGTGTTGCCAGGAGCAGTTATGTCTCACTGTTAAGAAAAACCCTAAACCATTTTAAATGCTGTATTCTGAAGGTCTTTGAATGATTTGAAGGATGTCTATTCATCTCAAATACATCTCTGTATATCTAGAAAACCCAACTCATCTTAACTATAAGTTTTGACTATTATAGGTAACTATCTATACTCTGTACTTAATTATACATTACATTTTTAAATGAGCTATATAAACACAATACCTAAACAAGAGGAGAAATATACATATCACAAAATTGTCCTTAAATTGTATCAATAAATGAAAATCCATTCCAAAACAAAGTATTTATATCTATACCATAATCCCCTTTTTCCCTTTAAAGAGATTGGTTGTGGCCATTAACCATTTATAACCAACCCCATATAAATGAAAACAAACATTTATAGACAATTTTTGGGAGTTTGGGCATCTTTCTTTCTAAACTGCTTCCTGCTGGTAAGGGTGCTGTCATGGGGATCCTAAGAAGACACAGAAATCCTGGCTGTAGTGGTCTGTAAGGCTGCCTTATCCAGGCTGTTTTGAATGTTGGATCACCTGGGACACTGCTTCAGGGTGTCTTGCTTGATCAAACCATGTTAGCCTGGAAGGAATCCACAGCTTTTTATTTTCCCAGTAATTTGTCCTTGGACTTATATTCGGAAGTCAAAGCATTTTTAAAAATATATAAATTGGATTAATTTAGCAGCATTGATAATCAAGTGTATTGTAGCAATTTTTTTTCTTAGTAATTGAGTAATTTAAAGCCAACACCATAACATACAGTATCCAGACTCTTTGTGTGCTTTCCATCTTCTCATGGCTTTTTTATAATCTATTTCTTTTATTTTTATTTATTTTTATTTATTGAGACAGGGTTACTCTGTGCAACTTTGGCTGCCCTGGAATTTATTTCCTACACCAGGTTTGCTTTAAAATCAGAGATCTGTTTCCCTCTGCCTCCTAAGTGCTGGAATTAAGGGCATGTGCCATCAATGCCCCAGCTACTCTCTTTCTATTTTTTTTAACCAGCTGCTCATTCACACCATTGAATTGTTAGCAGTGCTTCTTAGAAGCCATGTGGTTTTTTCCATGTATGATGAGTCAGGATATCTCCCTTAAAGGAGTCATGCAAATCTCTGCTTGTCTCTAGCAAAACAAAGCTCAACTGTGAAAAATGCTGCTACCAAGAAGCCTTGCTTATCTTTGTTCTTTTGTTTCTAAAACCCCCTTTTAAACTTTTGTCAAGTTTTAAGTGAAAGTTGTCCAGTCCATGTTGTGGCACCATTTTGTTACGAGTATGTTTTCCTGCCAGTCTGGTCCGAGAGTTGCAACATCCCCAAATAACACACAGAGATGCTATATTAGATATAAAGCTGTTGGCCTGATACTAGTGTTTCTTATTGGCTACCTCTGTCTCGAATATTAACCCATTTCTATTAAGTATTTCCATGTGGACTTATCGGAGAGAGGGTCTGGAGTTCTACTCTCTCCGTCCCACACGTTGAATCTCCTATTACCTATCCCTGAATCCTCCTTGTCTCCTAGTCCTGCCTATCTTGCTCTCCTATTGGCCAACAGGGCTTTACTCATTAAAGGCAGGAGATGGGACAGGAATGAGACACTTCAGTTCTGGGCCACATGTGAGATATGAGCACAAATCATTTAGCCTTTATTGGGCTCTCCATGAGACACAGGAAGTGGGCGTTCTCCCTCCTTGTATTGCTCTCTCAGGATAGATAGGGCTCTATAGAGCTTCTGAAACTTTGTGTCTTTGGGGTCTTATTGGTAACAGTGATAGAGTTTTGATTGGGTAAGCCTGGGGTGGGACCCAGAGCCTTCAATTCCAAGGAGCCCCAGACTCCTGGTTCAGACTCTGTACATTTGATAGGGCTTTACCTAAAACATCATGCTATCCTGTGGATATTAATATCCCGAGACCAGACACTTCCCTCCAGCAGCAGGGTGCCACAGGGGAATAGCATTTGAGACTTCAGTCACTTGCCTCCTCAGTACAGGTGTGGGGCCTTTGGGTAAGCATGTGTCCAGTGTGGGCCTCAGAATGAGCGTATCTCTCCAGTCCTGGAGCACAAGCTATGAGTGAGCACATCCCTGCTTTCTTAGTAGTGTCATGGGTAATGGATGTTGCCCACCTCAGTTTTGATGTGAGTCATAGAGTGAGCATGCCTGCTCCTCAGTTCTGACATGGGCTGATGGGTGAGTGCATCTTGGGAAGGTGCATGGGTCTGCAGTCTCACTTTAGAAAACTTATTTTTTTTCTTAAGTTTTTGAGCTTTCTGAAGAATTGTGTGTTTATAAAATATGTGTATTTATTATGTCTGTTTTTTATGGTCTGCTCTTTGGTACACCCAGCCCCTCTGTAGGCTTAGTCAGCACATAGTGTTGCATGGTTATCACGGACAGACCTTAGCACTGTTTTCTCTTCCCCTCCAGATGTTTATTCTTTTCAAGAAGAGGGACCTGTTTTGGATCCTCACTTGGCCAAACACTTAGCACACTTCGGGATCGACATGCTTCATACCAACGGGGTGAGGAAATCTTTTGTCTATGATTCTACGCTGTGTCGGTAATGGGTGAGTGGGTGGGGTCTTTAGCTTAGTAAATATATAATTCTACTAATGTGCATCTTTACTTGGTAGATTTTGCTTTAATTGTTGCATTAGTTTGTTGAATTTAGTTGATTATATTTTATTTGGGTTACCAACTTAGAATCTTGCTAGCAAGTTTTGGTTTATTATGGGTTTACTTGCAAAAATTTTGTCTACTTTGATAGGTAGGTGCATAAATCCCTCTTTTTTTTTCTACACTAGAGGGAGAAAGTACAGGATGATGACTTTTAAAATAATATGTACTCTACATTACTTCAGTTAATTTATAAAAGGCAATGAGGGCTGTTGGGTAGTGGGTGGAATAATGAAACTTTGCTTTGTTGCTTACTTCATCTTGATGTCATTCAACTCGGTGATGGAGTAGTTTAGCCTGTGAGGCGTATTTCAGTGTGAGGCTGTATTCTCTCCCTCCCAGGCCAGTACTCTGTCTGTTGCATCCTTTCATTTCCTTCCTCTCTCAGGTACTCCAAAGCCTCAGTGGGTCCATTTCACCATCCTCTCTCCCTTTCTTGCCTTTTTGTTTACTGCAGGTCCTGTATTGTTCCTTTGTCTTGCTACCTAGGTTTTGTTTGTTTGCTTTTAGCTTTCTGTGATAGTCTCATGTTACCTAGGCTGGCCTCTCTCTTTGTAGCTGAAAATGACCATGAACTTAGGATCTTCCTGTCTCACCTCATGGTTTTGGGGATTACAAGTGTGCACCACATCTAGGCTATGTGGTGCTGTGTAGTTGGTTATTTTATTTACTCTTTTTTTGGCTCTTTTGGGGGGCCTGCCACCCAGCTCCCAAATAAATACACACATGGAATCTCGTTCTTTCCTATGAGTGCTCAGCCTTATCTTGGCTTGTTGCTAGCCAGCTTGTCTTAACTTAAATTATTCTGTCTGCCTTTTGCTTGTGGCTTTTATATCTTCTCTATTTCTGTGTATCTTTTCTTTACTTCTTATCCCCTGTCTGGCAGGCCCCTATTATTGTTCCTCCATTCTCCCTCCCCAGATTTCTTCTCCTATTTCTTCTCTCCCTGCCAGCCCCATCTATCCTTGCTCCTGCCTTGCTGTTGGCCTTTCAGCTCTTTATTAGACCAATCAGATGTTTTAGACAGACAAACTAATACAGCTTCACAGAGGTAAACAAATGCAACATAAAAGAATGCAGCCATTTTGCACCATTAAATAAATGTAACATAGCATAAATGAATGTAACACATCTTAAAATAATATTGCACAGCAGTGCTGGGAATGGGACCCAGGACTTCGTTCATGCTCTGCAAGTGCTTGAGCTGCATCCTTCATGTGTTCACTTCTTGTTTTTCTATGCCTCCTGTCTCTTTCCTTCTTGCTCTTTCTTTTTCCTGAAAAACAAAACAAAACAAAAATACAAAACCCAAAACCTTTTAATGTTTTAAAAAATTGTTGTGTGTGTGTGTATGTATGTATGTATATATATATGTATATATATATATATATATATATATATATATATATGTCTTTTCAGCTAATTTAAAGTATATGGTTTTGTGACGTTAAGTACATTTACATTTTTATGTAATCACTATTGTCTCTTAATACTTTTAAACAATTATTCATTTTCCCATGTAATTAGAGGAAAATGGCAGAAATAGCCATTACATTAGAATTAATTCATGGGCAAAAATTTTGATTGTGAGTCCCATTTAAAGCCCTTTTCTTTTCTCTCTCTTTAATGATATCTCAGACAGAGAATGGGCTCCGGGACAATGACATCAAGCCAAGAGTCAGTGAGTGGGAAGTGATCCAAGAGTCGGGGACTAAGCTAAAGCCAATGTATGGACCAGGGTACACAGGCCTGAAGAACCTGGGCAACAGTTGCTACCTCAGTTCTGTCATGCAGGCCATCTTCAGCATCCCAGAGTTCCAGAGAGCGTAAGTGTGCCCCACTGCTCATGGACCATTGTGCTGCCAATCTCTCTGGACTAGTCCATTCTGTGTGATGGGGAAACCCATTACTATTGCATCATGGTGGGAGTGTGGCTTCTCATCCTGAGGGCCCATGAGAGTAGTCATCTAATATTACAGGATAAGGTGAGATGAAGAGTGCTTGGAGATTGAGGGACATTTCACAGTCAGTCATCATGGCTCTTAGACCATACACTCTGTGCCAAGAATATATCAGCCATCCTTCTTCATAGGACACCTGCTTGATCCTTTCTGTTGATGGGCCAGTAGAGGGCTAGTGCCTGTGTGGTCAGTATCTGTTCTACAGAGGTGAATTTTGTGGAGGGTTTTAGGTTATTATTTTTTTGTTACTGGGAGTGTGTTTCCCAGATGGTGCCCTGGGCTGCTAGGTGTGGGTCCGTAGTAAGGAAAGGGTAGAAGTTGATTAAGCATCTAGAGACTATTGTAGTTATTTGATATCACCACATCTTATATGTGGCATTTCATATGTTCATTTGATTGTTTTTATGATAGTTATCATCTATCTGGGTTGGAAAATTTGGTTCTTCAGGCAGACCAATTTAGGGTGCTTCCTAATTCTGCAGGCACAAGGTAGCCTCTTTTCCCAGTGCCTCCCCACATAATTGCTGTGTTTGTGGGCATTTTATGCATTGGGTTGCAGCTCAGGATTCTGGAGTTGGTAGGTTTCTGTGGTGGGTTAAGTACTGAAGAGGACAGTTGTGTCGGAATAGACTTACTAGCAAATAACATGCTGGGAGCAGCACAAGGCGGTATTTTCCCACATGGAGCTGAAGTCCTAGCGGTTACATAGTGCTTCACTGAGTGTATATCAGGTCGGATAACCTCCCCTCTCCTCTCAGAATTTGAGTACTTAACCATTCATTGCTGTTTTCTGGCTTTGAAAATATTGTCAATTTCCCACAAGTTCTTTTCCACTTTCCAGTAAAGAATGAGCTATGTTATGTATGTGTTTGGTGTGTGTGTATGAGCTTCAGGAGTAAATTCAGGGGCTTTGTATCTGGCCCAAGGAACACACAAAGATTCAGTAGATGAGCATAAGAACATAGTTATGAAGGTGTTCTATCCCCTGAAGGGGGAAGGAAGAAGGTGGTTAGAGGGGATACATGCACAAATGACAGATGAGTGGGAGGGAGGGAAATAGTGGCCCACTGCTTTGGGTCTTTAATGGCATGGTACATGGTGGTACTAATGTGTGGTGGAGGATATTCATTCATTTTGTGGGTGCTTTGTGTGGTGTGGTGAGGTCCTACTGTCTCCTGAAGGGACTTCCCCAGTGACTAACCTCTTCTCACCAGGACCCACCTCTTAAAGGTGCTACCACTTCCCAGTAATGCCACAGGCTGGGAACCCAACCTTTAAGAACATGTGTCCTTTGGGGACAGGCATCAAGGTGTGGCAGTGCATTTCCTGTTTGAAGTTGGTGTTGTGATATTTCAATGTGTAAACATAGCTCTTATCTCAAAAGGAATAGAGATAGCTTTTGCTTGAATCAAATGTGAGTGACATGTGCAATCAACACATATTTAGGTTGCCCTAAGAGACATGCTCACTGTGGATTGGTCTCATGAGAATTTTTTTTTCTGTTACAGAACAAAGGAGGTCATAATGGGGGTATTTACCAGATTCATTGTTGAGAACCACAGGTAGATAGGTCATAGCAAAGTGGGAGAATCCAATCTCTGTCAGAGTTAAAGATACTGTCTGATGACATTTTTAGCATTGGATTTGTGGAAACTAGTAGTTTGCTAAGAATACATTTTAAAGGCCTTAAGAGTTATAGTACATTAGGTTAAATTATTACATGAGTGGGCAATGAATGACTTTCAAAGGGACTAAAATTAGCCTAAGATTATTTTGCTCTGATCTGCTCCATCTTAATTCCCCATAATCTTTAAGTTCAGTCATTTTCTTGTAGAGTGTTTAACACAGGCACAGCTTTTCTTTTTTCCTGGGACCTTAAGTTTATAGATGACATAAGTCCATTCATTTAGTAGATGTGTACCAATGCTTTCCCATGCCAGAAACTATTCTTTAACTATAGGTGCTGCCTAGAGTCTCTGTCTTCACACAGATTGCATTTTACATAGATAATAACAGATAATTATCTGTGTCTTCACACAGATAATAACAAAGAATGTAAGTAAACTGTATAATTCCAGCTAGTGATGGAGGTTAAGAAGCTAAGCAGTCAGTGGGAAGCTGGAAGGGTGAGCTGCCATTTTTCCTTTTGCCCAGTCTGGGAAGGAGCTTTCAACAGATCCGAGGAAGAGTTATCAAGCATCTGGGAAAGAAATAGCAGATGGCTTGGTTTTGAAGCAGGGGTGAGCTCAGTAAATGGCCAGAGCATCATGGATGTGGGAGAGAGCTTACAAAATGAGATCAGAAAAGTAGGCAAGGGTAGACTTCATGAGGACAGAGGACAGCCGACAGCCTAGTCTATAGAGTGATAAATACCCTCTCTCCAATTTAGAACAAAACAAAAACAAAAAGCAGAGAGGATGACTAGGAAATGAACTATGGAAGTGGGTGAGTGACTACATATTAATATTGGATGTCAAGGTTAAGGCTAGTACTGCATTGTCAGGATTGTAGTCTTTAGGGAGAGAGAGAGAGTGGCCAATTAGTGACAGCCTGCAGAGTTTAAGAACTCAGCTTTGGAGCCAGGCTTGTCTCTCTCTCTCTCTCTCTCTCTCTCTCTCTCTCTCTCTCTCTCTCTCTCTCTCTCTCTCTGTGTGTGTGTGTGTGTGTGTGTGTGTGTGTGTGTTTGTATGTACACATTCTGGGCTCCATTACCTACTCCTGGGTGACTTAAATGCTACCTAGTAAAGTTGCACCTAATTTCTTATCTCTCATGGGATAATAACAATATCAACCCCTGGGTCATGGGGATATAGTGAAGAATTTCTCAGCCTCGCAGAAGTCTTTTCTCAAGAGTGCTTTACCTCAAGAAAGGTAGTTAGGGTAATTGTCATTGTTGTTACCTTCATTTTGAAATTACTGGCCCAACTCATAACAGTAAAGGAAAATGTTGTATAAATACCTGCTAAAATGGGCGATGGGAAACATGGTGAAGAACTTGGCTGTGACTTCAACAAGGAGAAGTAGAGATTTCTAACCAACAAGCGTGGGCAGGCTTGGGGAGGAACATCTTTGTGAAAAGGCGTAAGGGTATAAGCTTTCTGGCAAAATTCCACAATCAGGTTATTGTTGATGTTAGGTTTTAATGGTCCATTACAGAGGATGGGAACTTCCAATAAAATAATAGAGCAAAATTCATAGGAAAAAACAAAAATAATAAAAGATTCAGCAAAGGAAGGGCAGAGAGGGAAACCCATAGCTGAGGCAGGCGTAGAGTTTGGGGTCTGATTTTCACGCTGGCTGAAGAAGGCTGTCAGCCACCTTACCTGTTTTTTTTTTTTTTTCAGGACAGGGTCTTACTGTGTAGCACAAGTAGGTTGGCCTTGAACTTGCAACCCTTTTGCCTCAACCCTTCCCTTTTGCTGGATACCATTTGTTTTTTGAGGCTGTGGTTATGTTGACATGGTTTCTGATGTGTCTGAACGGCATGGGAGACTGTTGGGAGAATTCTAAATCTTAGGCTTGTTTCTCAAGTGAGGAGATGGGCGCATCTGAAGGGTGTGTCTCTGGGGAGGGTGAAACCGGCCGATGGATTTGGGGATGGCTCATGAGTATGCTGTGGAGGGAGGGATTCAGAAAAGCCTTTGCTCTGCAAGGTGTCAGTAGAGTGACAGCTTGTTTCTATTGTCCTGCTTCTGTGGTGACTGTCCTGTTGTCTCTTAGGTATGTAGGAAACCTCCCAAGGATATTTGACTACTCGCCGTTAGATCCCACACAGGACTTCAACACACAGATGTAAGTGCCCAACACTGTGCTTTGAGTTTCTGGTGGGGTGTTCACATTCCTTACTGCTGAGTTGAAGGCAATTCCTTTTTCTTCTTTATTTTCTGTATTTTTAAGTGTTCTAGAATGGGTGTGTGTTACCTTTGTAAGAAGAGATTAATAAAGTTATAAAGTACTGAGGAAACTTTGAGAGTGGAGTCAGAATCAAGCAGAGGCAAAAACCAAGCTGTTTGTGAGGAATCCGGATAGAGAGCAGCCCGCTACAAGGACTCATGGGTGACCTTCACATCTCTGTGGGAAACAGCAGTGGCCTCTTTATTGTTTGTCTCTCTCCTGGCTAGGACTAAGTTGGGGCACGGCCTCCTCTCTGGCCAGTACTCGAAGCCTCCGGTGAAATCTGAGCTCATTGAGCAGGTGATGAAGGAGGAGCACAAGGTATGTGACCCTGTGAGCCATGGGGACACACAGATGGGTGGGGCTTTGGTCAGCAATGTGGGGATCCTGTGTTGGCAAAAGGGTGCTGCAAATCCAGTGAGCTGTCAAGGTAGCCGTGAGTGGGTGCTTTGTTCCCATGTTCTTAAAAACAACAGTAAGGAGAAGCATCAGCTCACATGTGGTGATCTGTGCTCTCACTCATGATTTTCCTAAAGCAGAGCTTGGATTGGGGGCATGAAGCATAAAAACTACCCTCTCCCATAGCCAGTCTGGGCCTCTCAGTGTTTGTCTAAAGCTTCAGATGTTCTTGCTAGGGCCCCTTGTCTCCCTCCTTCCTCCCCACTCCCTCCCTGATGCCCTTTCTTCCTTCTAGAAGGAGTCTCCCTGTGTAGGCCAGCATTGTATAACTTTTTCTTCAGAGATAGGAGTAGCATGTATTCATTGGAGGTAGGACCACAGTAACAGTTTACCTAAGTCTGGTTTGGGGAACCAAGGAGTTCCTTGGGGAGTACTTGGAGGAACATGGATGAGGGATGACTGACAGGAGTGTGGCTTCCTCAAAGGCAGACCATCCCAGGATGGGAAACAGCTCAGAAGGCAGCACGCCTATAGCTCTGTCCTATTTGCAAACAGCTCTATTGAATTCCTCTGAATTGTTCATTGCTTATAGCACCTTAGGGAGGGTCTTGTAAGTTTCCTGAGCTTCCTGAGTCTGGTAAGTTTCCTGAGCTTCCTAAGTTGACTGAATTTCCTGAGTTCCTGAGTGTATGATCTCTTGAGAGAACATTTCAGCTGGGAGAAAGTTCTACAACAGATTCCAAGGTTGGCCTTGAACCCTTGCTCTTCCTGCTTCAGCTCCCGAAATGCTTACTACAAGTTCTCTTTTGTTAAACCACAGCACATGGGTTTCTCACCCTCTCCTAAGAGCCTAGGATTAAGAGTTTCTGTTAAGTGCTTGCTGGTGGGAAGTTATTGAATGGTTTCCCAGCATGCTCAGCTAGGGAAAGTCAGTTGGCTGCTTGCTGCTAATAGGTAGACTAAGTGAAAGACAGGCTTGATGGATCTCCGTGTGCACACTGGGCTGCTATCTCCTCCCAGGCTTCACTGTTAAATAGCCCCAGAAGGCATTGCTTGCACTGCACTTCTTTCGAATGGTGCCCTGGCAGTGCATAGTCTGTGTAGACAGATTCAGCATGCCTCATGCTGATGGCCACAAGTGTCCTGAGTGAAACTCAGACCTGATCCTCCACCCGCTGTCTCTTCAGGGAACCCCATGTTCACCTGTACACCACAGTGCTCAGACCTGGTCCATGCTGGGTATCAAGTGTTTGACCTTTGTGCTCCCCAGTTAGATCAGCTATCCTTCACTGATAAGGTAATTTAAGAGCAGGAGTGGAAAGTGAGTTCATACTTGGTCATATGCAGCCAGCTGCTGGTGGAATTAAACAGAGCAGGAATCTGGAGGCAGGAGCTGATGCAGAGACCATGGAGGAACAATGCTTACTGGCTTCTCAGCCTGCTATCTATCTATCTATCTATCTATCTATCTATCTATCTATCTATCTATCCAAGTCCACTTAAATGAAAACAAACATTTTTAGACAATATTTGGGAATTTGGGCGTCATTCTTTCCAAACTACTTCCTGCTGGTAAGGGACACTGTCATGGGGGATTCTAAGAAGATGCAGAAATCCTGGCTGTAGTCTGTAAGGCTGCTTTGTCCAGCTGTTTTGAATGTAGGATCACCTGGTACTCTGTTTCAGGCGGTCTGTCAGCCTGCTTTTTTATACAGCCCAGGACCACCTGCCCAGGGGTGGCACCACCCAAAATGGGCTTGGTCCTTCCATTATTAATCACTAATTGAGAAAATGCCTGGTCTACAGGCTTGCCTATGGGCCATTCTTATAGAGGCATTTTCTCAACTGTGTTTTATTCTTCTTAAATATGTCTAAGTTTGTGTCACATTGACAGAGAACAACGATCATACCCAGTATTTTAATTTCTTTAAAAGAAGATTTGTGTATGTGTGAGAGAGAGACAGAGACAGACAGACAGACAGACACACACACACACACACACACACACAGAGAGAGAGAGAGAGAGAGAGAGAGAGAGAGAGAGAGAGAGAGAGAGAGAGAGAGATGTGTGCAGATGGAGAGATGACAGTGGAGGCCAGAAGAGGGCTTTGGATTGCCTGGAGCTGGAATTAGGTGGTTGTGAATGACCCAATATGGGTGCTGGGAACTGAACATGGGAAGAACACCAAGCACTTTTAACTTTTAAGCCCAATTTGGGCTCAACCATATCCTTAAGAATTCGTTCTTGGTATTTATTTATTTTACTTGTTTATTTATTCTGAGGCTCACACTTGGATCCTGTTTGAACTGGACAAGTGCTTGCAAATGATTTAAAGGTGGAACCCTTTCGGCTTTTTCCCATGCAAATAGCATGTTTGAAGTTGTTGTGCATCCTGAGAAATTGTGTTCAGGGCAGTTTGATTCCCAAATTAAATATTTTTGACACCGTTGTGGGTTTTAGCATCACCTGAGATAGCCAGCATCCTATTATATTGAGGTGGTAGCATTTTATCTTTAAGCATGGAGCTTGCTTTCTTTAATTTGTATTTGCCCCTGTTGGGCAAATATATTTCTTGTGGTTTTTTTTTAACATGAAAAAAAAAAAAAAAAAAAAAAAAAAAGAACCCAATCCATTCCATTGCACACAAGTACAGGACAGTGATGTTTCTAAGTAAATCAAACCATAGACACTGTCTTTCTCAAGGTTGCCTCCCTCGGTCATGGTCACGTTGAATTGTTACAAAGCTAAGACAAAGCTCTGTAATAGACTGGGCTTTTCACTTCTCACTTCTGCCTCTTGTCTTGTATCTTTTCTATTTCCTGATGGGTACACATCCTGAGGTTAAATCATCTACTACAGATGAAGGGAAATCCTAGATTTGTAGTAATGTCTTGGTTAATAAACCATGTCACCTATAAAAAAGATTCCTATTGTTACAACTTTAATCCAGAGGATAAGACAAACAGCAGGAGGAGAAAGACTGCCTAGGAATCTATGTTAGCACTTTCACACTTGGCCTTGAAGTGTGGCTGCGGTAGAATGTGTCTGCCAGCAGGACTCGCCATTCATGTTTGTATGAGCTGCCGTTACTCCACACACTGAATTGTTCCTGTGTCAGTTACTCAGAGCGATCATGCTAACAGTTCTTCTTCCAAATACTATACAGTGCTGAAACCGACCATCAACTGTCTTGAAAACGTGTGTGTTAGGAATAGGTTGAGCCGAGTCTGTGGTTGGAAATATCTTCAGGCATTGCTCTGATGTGCCAGAAGCTCCATCTAGCTCATGGCTTGCTTATTAATTAAAGTACTGTACTCTCATCGTACCACAGGCTTCCTGGGTGGTTGCTATTCTGGAGACACTGGGCCATCCTTTTACAAAGAACGTGGTCAAGAGATAGCTTACAACCAAGGCAGCAGGTCATGTGGCATCCTCTGTCCTCATTTTGTATGCTAGGGCTGGAGTAACACTTAGGTGATATCACTAGGCCACTGTCAAATGGAAAATGTGGCTTCCTTAGCTCAGTTCTTGAGTTTTTGGTTATTTATTTATTTATTTATTTATTTGGCTTTTTAAAACTGCCTCATGCAGAGCCCAGTTTATGTGTATATGTTCATGTGTATTCAAGTGTGTACGTGTGTGCATGTGTGCACGTGTGTCTTTCTGTGCATTTATTGGTCAGAGAACAACCTTGGATGTAGGGCTTTGGGAACAAACCATTAGGAGTCATATAAATAAGTCAGGAGGCAGACTTACTTCTAGTCCCAGTACTGGGGAGGCAGAGCCAGGGTCGTCCTTGATCCTTACTGGCCACCAGTTTAGCCCATGCATGAGCTTCATTCAGGTTTGGTGAAAAATCTTGTCTCAAAAAATAAAGTGACGAGGTGACTGAGGAAGACAGCCAACATTGACCTCTGGCCTCCACATGGGTGCTCACACATTTGTGCACACACTTGAACATATACATACACTAAAAAAGAAAAAGTCCAAATTTGCATCCATGTAGAGAGAAAGCATAATGCATTCCCACAAGCCTTTTGGGCACTGACAGGCATCAGTAATCAACCTTTGTGAGAGAGGGTGTGTGCAGAGGCCAGCAACATTGGCTCCTCTGAAGCTGCTTGAAGCCTGGGCACTGGTGCTGGGAACTGAACTCATATCCATGGCAAAGCAGTGAGTGCTCTTAACCACCAACTCACCTCCCTAGCCCCAGGAGCTCTTCCTCTACTCTTCTGCCAGAGTTCCTTTCCATAGTGCATCTCTAGTCTGCTCTGAAGTTTGGTCACTGTGTCACATGTCCTATAAGGATGGGCCTCAAGTCTGTGGATAAAGCGGAACATTGGCCACCCACTGTTCTGAGCTCTGAGTCTACAGGAAGAGTCCTAATTTGTTCTTACATAAGGTTTCACTATGTATGTGCATCTGTATCTATACATCCATACATGTATATGTGAATATACGTGTCTCTATATTTTTAGATTGTTTCATGGATCCCAGGTGAGTCTTGAACTTGCTATGTAGCTAAGAATGACACTGAACTTCTGATCTTTCTGCCTCCTGAGTGCTGGGATTACAGGTGTGCACCACCACACCTGTTTTCTGTGGTGCTCGGGAGGAGGCCAAGGCTTCATGCATGCCAAATAAACACTTTGTCAGCTGAACCAGTCCTGTTCTCATAAAGTATGTAGAGCAATGTCTACATATCTGGATGGTTGATGCTGGCTCTTGTCATGATTACTTTTTTCCTCATTTGAAAGGTAGGATTCACAGTTAGACTGGACCCACTTGGCATTCAGACGATATGCTTATTTCACCATATTTTGTTAATATTCTTTCTCTTCCTCTAACACTACTCAGATCCTTCCACCTACCTAACTTCATGTTTTCTTTACAATAAAAAACAAAAAACAAAAGTCAAAGAAAAAAAAAAAACAGTAAGACAAAATTCCAAAACACAACACAACAAAAAGTCCATTAAAAACCAACCAACAAAACAAAACATGAACTTTGTTTCGTGTTGCCAACTACTCCTGGCCATAGTGCCTGCCCTAGAGTGTTATTGATATATCTAGTGATGTTCCATTGAAGAAAACTGACTTTTCTCTATCAACAAGTATCATTGCAGACAGTTTCTTATTTAGAGGTGGGATCATGTATCCACTTTCCTTTCTTACTTAATGCTGGGATTTTATCTTGTTTGAACTTGTGCAGGTCTTGTGCATGCTACCACAGCCTCTGCGTGTTTATATGTGCATCAGTCCTGTTGTCCCTGGAAGATGCTGTTTCTTTGGAGTCATACATCAATAGTTTCCTCTCTCCAATAGTTTCCTACCTCCTCTTCTGCATAGATCCCTGAGGCTTGAAGGGAGAGTTTGATAAAGACTTACCATTTAAGATTGGGTGCTCTGTAAAGTCTCTCATTCTGCCATGGCCCCGTTATGGGACTCTGGTAATTACCATTTACTGCAAGGCGCTTCTCTGATGTGAGCTGAGTGATGCTCTTAGTTATGAGTACAGCATTATGTCACTAGGGAGTCATTTTATTACTATGTACTTTTAGCAGAATAATAGTAGAAGGCTTTTCACTTATAGAAGATGATTTTGTCTTTCTACTCTAGCCTCAGCAGAATGGGATCTCTCCACGCATGTTCAAAGCCTTTGTCAGCAAGAGCCATCCAGAATTCTCCTCTAATAGACAGCAAGATGCCCAGGAGTTTTTCTTGCACTTGGTCAATCTGGTAGAGGTAAGTCTTGAGAGCATCTTGAAGGTTGGTCAGAAATGCACCAACTACACTGGTGATGGCTTGACCTTCTCTTTACATCAGTCACTCACTGGGCCTCTTGGTGGCTGTCTCTGCTTGGTGCACTTGATGTGGCTGCTTCTTACATTTGGGTTCCAGATGCTGCTGGCTTTGTATGTCTTTCATGCTGTGTGTATTATGGGTGTGTTTGGTCTCTGGACAGAGCCCCTTGAGAACTCCTCCAGCTACTTGATACCCAGCTACCACTCAAGTGTTCATGTTTCTAGTGTAGCAGAGCTGAATTCCATGGAAGCCATGAAGAATCCAGCTTAAAGCAAGCAACAGGACAGCAGCTTTTCCTCCTTGGTTATGAAAGTGTTCTTTATGGAAAAGGGAGAAAAGCCAGAGAATTAAATCAGAACTGTCTTAATAGTGACTGCTGCCTTTAACATTATAGAAGCTGGCCTTTCAGTCGTTTCTCAATACTGTGAATTCTCTGTGTTGTCAGTAGTGATTTCCCTTAGCCTGCTGGAAGAATGTTGCCATACCCTTCTGTATCCTAATATAGCATGGTTTCTTTATTTATATATAGTCGACATTAAGTGCATTTGAAATTGTTCCAAACATACCTTGGTTTTCCTAAGACAATATTTTTCCCTCTTTCTATTTCATTAACTTATTTTCCTTCCTTCTTCTAATTCCACCCATACCCATCTGTCTTATATGGTTTAATGACTTAGTAATATTACTTCACAGATGAACTTGAATTTATTTACCCAACCCCTCATTTTGGGACACTATATAAATCACAGTGTCTTAGTCTGGTTAACTCTGATGTCCAGGAAAAAATGCTCCATAAAGCAAGATCTTGATGCCAGAATTGGAGTTGACACAGTGCTATTTTTTTTTATTCATGACTTCATTCCCCTGCATCTACTCACCTGGTATTATCTGACTTTCAGAGGAATCGAATTGGCTCAGAAAACCCAAGTGATGTTTTCCGGTTTTTGGTGGAAGAGCGCATTCAGTGCTGTCAGACCCGAAAGGTCCGCTACACAGAGAGGGTGGACTATCTCATGCAGTTACCTGTGGCCATGGAGGCAGCAACCAACAAAGGTAACAGTCCCGAAAGGGAAGAGAGCCACATTGTCTCCCTGTGGGGAGACCTGCGCCAGAGATAAGGAGCTCAGTCACTGGGATGGGGCTTCATGTTTCACTTGGATGACGTGTTTGGGTTTCACAGCCCTTCGCATGGTTTTCCAAGGTCCCATGTGACTATTTGTGGAGGCAGCTAAATGTATTATGGCAGGCTTTGTGGAGAAGCTATGGACAGGGGCTACTTTAGGACCCAGAAATGTCACTCATGGTTAGCTGCAGTGGGCACAGTTGTACTGCTTGTGGTGACGTGGGCAGAATGCTCTCGTTCCATTGATAATACGCGTGGTATGGAATTTGATGGAAACACAACTTTGGGTATTAGAAGTGGAATCAGAGATCTTGGGAAGCAAACACACTTCTAGCTGGTCCTTAAGGCAGACCTCCTGGGAGGTAAGGTAACTTGTGGCATGCAACTCTGTAGCAGTGAGCCCCATAGGACAATGACTGGACTTCACATGCAGGAGAGGTGCCACCATGTAGCCTTTCAGGGCATGGCATCTTCTCATACTCTAAGTATGATCTGATTCTTTCCAGGCAGAATGGATGAATGACATTCCTTAGTATTCATGTCTTAGAGAAGGAGAGGGCAAAATGGCTGGTGGATTGCTCATTTTGGTACTTGCCATTCTTGTAAGAAAAATCCTCTCCAAGTGCTTATTGCTACTTTTTTGGGGGAGTTAATTTTTTATGATATTGGGAAGTGAGGATTCTGATGATTTAAGATGAAATTATTTCGTTGTCTATCCGTGCATACAGTTTTAGACTACATTTAGATTCTCAACATTGTCTGAGCTACGGGAGGCTATGGAGTGGGTGCTTTGCTGCCTTTTGAACGTGAGGGCTGTCTTAGTTACTTTTTCTCTTGTTTCCATAAAGTGCCTGACAAAAGCCAGTGATGGAAGGGAAGGGGGAGGGGAGGGGAGAATAAAGGGAGGAAGGGAGGGAGGGGAGAAGGAGGGGAAGGGAAAGGAAAAAGGGAGGGGAGGAACAGAGGGAGGAAGGGAGGGAAAGATGAGGGGAAGGAGGGAGGGGAGGAAGAGAGGGAGGGAATTGGGGAGGGGAAGGAGAAAGGGAAGGAGGGAGGAAAGAAGGAAGGGAAGGAGGGAGGGAGGAAGGGAGGGAAGGAGGGAGGGAGGAAGGGAGGGAAAGATGAGGGGAAGACGGGACAGAGGGAGGGAGGGCTTATTTTGTGCCAAAGTTACAGAATATAGTCCATCATGATAGGAAAGTCATGTTGACCAGAGCCAGTTATTTTCCAGCTGGGAAGCAGAGAGAGATGACTGCTCATGTTCAGCTTGCTTTCTTCTTCTTAGGAGTCAGGATGCTGATGGAGCTACTCATTTTTAGTGTGGATCTTCCCACTCTAATGAAACTAACCAAGATAGTCTCTCACAGGCATGGTCAGGAGCTATACTAATCTAGATAATCCCTGACAGCTGTGCCTGGCAGCTTTACTCTAGAAAGCCTGTCAAGTTGCCAATCCACTGAGCCATTGGAAGGAACAATGGGTTTTCCTTGCTCACCTCATACATGTTCTGTTCAGTTCTGTCAGCCTTGGTGACAAAGAGTGTTCTCTAAAATTAATGTTGGTTTGAGAATCTCAAAGAAAAGGGAATCCACATGCTCTGTAGGAAGTTGTGTATATGTATTCAAGGATGGTGAGGCCGAGGGGCTGTTTTAAATGCAGGATGAGGAGAGTTGTGATGAGTTGGTGGCATGCAGTAATGGGGACTAGTAGGAGCAGCAGTGTTCAGGTACTGCAGAATCATCATCTACACCAGGCTGTGGTTCAGATCCTCTTGTGAGAATTCTCATTGTCAGATAGAAGCACAAGGACCCCCCCCTTTAACACCTGCTTTCCTTAGTGGGTAATGAATGAATCCCCTTGGATTTTAATAGCTTTCACAATCCTGTGATCTCTAATTCCCTGCACTATATGAGTGGTAATCTTTTCAAGACAAAAAATTTATAGTTTAGTTTCTGGATTTCTAGCAATATTTAACATTTTTAGGCTAGATAAGAAGTACTATGCTGTAAACTGATTACGGACAAAGAAGGGGCTTTGAAAGCTTTGGGGGGGGTGGTTAGGAAATATGTATGTGCACAAGCCAATCTATTAGGTGGGAATTGTTGCTATTGTGAAACAATCAACCAGGAATGACAAAGTACCTGTGATGTTTTAATTGCAGTTGGTGTCAAAATGTGAGCAGATCTCTGGCCCTAAAGCCCCTAGTACACACACCCCTTTCCCCTTATTATTGCCCTGGGAGACCTCCAGGCAGTGGGTTGATGGGAGGATGTATTTATCAGTGTTGGTGATGGTGCTGGTGGATAAGGGCAGGCTTACACACATACTCTCCTTAACCTCATGCCATTGTGGAACCCATGACCACAGTCACAGTTGCTGCAGAAAGCACATGACACCGAATCTGGCCATTGTCTGGAGCTCAGTGACAGTCCTGATTTTATCTCTCTTCCTTGCTCATGTTATTTTCCGGACAGCTTGAAGTTGGCAGCAGCCCCTCACCCCAAGCTCCCAGTTATTAGAAAAATCTGACCCCTTGCATGGATTTTACATCCCTTTTGGGCCTCATCTCTGTTTATTGACCAGGTCATTAAGTTGGGCTTGCCAGTGATTGGTTAGTTTTGACCTTTAGCCTCAGTTTTTTTTTTTTTTCATCAGGGAAATGAAGGGCCTGGGGAGAGAAGAGCCCTTGGCTCCCTAATAGCTGCAGGTCCCCAAATCATTGATGCCCCATGCTTGATCTGGTCTGGACTCAGTTCCCTCTCGTTGGACCCAAAATGAAATAGCAAAAATAAACAAGAATAAAAAAAAATACAAGAAATAGTTGGTCAGTGGTGGCCCACACCTTTAATCCCAGCTCTTGGGAGGCAGAGACAGGTGGTGCCAGCCTGGTCTACAGAGTGAGTTCTAGAACAGCTGGGCTACACAGAGAAGCCGTTCTTCACAAAACCAACCAACCAAACATAGAATTATAAAGTGTTTCTGACTCCACAAAGCCTGTCAGTCTTGTGAAGGGTCTTTGGGCAGTCTTCTCTGGGACAGACAGACAGGCAGGCAGGCAGCAACATTGACCTACAATGACCTACAATGCCACTCATGCGGGAGAGGCATATGACTGCAGGTTCCTTCCTTGCTCTCCCTCAGATGAGCTGATCGCCTATGAACTGATGAGGAGGGAAGCGGAAGCAAATAGAAGACCCCTTCCTGAGCTGGTGCGAGCCAAGATCCCATTCAGTGCCTGCCTTCAGGCCTTTGCTGAACCAGACAATGTGGATGACTTCTGGAGCAGTGCCCTGCAGGCAAAGTCTGCAGGGGTGAAGTGAGTAAGGCTGACTGAGATGGGGGCTGAGGCAGGGGAGGGGGCTGGGTGTCCTGAGAGTTCACAAATGCTATTCATGAGAGTGGGATGGATTGTAATATACACCTGCAGCTGTCATTCACTCCACTTGTTGAGCCTGACCAATAGGACAGTCCTGTGACTTGGGGTTATGTGTTGGGTGGGGGAGTGTCCACCTCCTTTTTTGAAAAGCAAAATTGTGGTTTATTCCGCAGTTGACATTTTCCTTTTTTTCTTTTTTTTCTCTTGCCATGAGAGTAGGGTTGAGAAACATCCTTACTCCCACATGGCAAGAATGATAACTGAAATCACAAAACTACTCATGGCAGCCTTCCATATGTAAATACCACTGCATTTTCTTGTAATTTTACAGTTAAGATTTAGCATAGGCCTTGGTTGATTGTGTACCTTTTAGGGGAGTCTTGGGCATGCCAGGTAGTCGTGGGCATTTGCATGGTGAACTGATTACAACCAAGTCAGGAGTTACCTACCTCATGTTCATATTGTGAGCCCGACTGTCAGGTACATGCAATTTTTTTTTCTTCACTTAATGATTTGATACAGTCAGTCCTTGCTGACCCTATTCCTATTGTCACTTGAGTTGGGAAAATAGTTCTTATAGAGACATAGAATAAAGGTCTGCTGAAAGGTATGTCCATTCAGTTCTCCTTCTACCTTTTAATTGAGAAGTCTGCTTTCTCCTTCTCTATACCCCCTTTCCATGCTGGATATTAAACCCAGGATTTCATAGATGCTGAACAAGCATGCTGTCAGTCAGCTATATTCTTAGCTCCTGGAAGCTTGTCTGGAATTTTACTACTTTGGCCTCCTCTTCAAGGGTGAGACTGAGGTCTGAGTTGACAGAGTGAAGAGTGCAGGGCTGTGGTGGCCTGCTTTTTTTTTTTTTTCCAGCAACCTGGAGAGCCTGCTACCAGCTGCTGTGTGCAGAACCCTTGGGGTCATGCTTTGCTTCATCATGTTAGACTTCCCATGCCAGAAAGGGGAACACAAAACACCTTATTTCTAAAACTAAGGGTTAGAGATGCATCTCAGAGGTAGAGGGCCTGCTTGGTGTGTGCGAGGTCCTGAGTTTGATTCCCAGCACTATAGAAAAACAAAACAAAACAACAGCAATTCCAAAACCTAGTCTCCACATGCCTCAGAGCAAAACCAGAGAAACTAAAGTAACAAAACAAAGTAAAATAAAACCCATCAAAAGCCCCATTTTTATCAAGTAAGTTTGAAAAGGTCCACTTTGAGATGAGGGTTAGTAGCCATTCATTCTATTATCAGCTGTCAATCATTAGGTAAATTTTATTGCAGGGATGGCTGGTGTGTTATCAACAACTTTAGAATGGCCAGCTTCTAAAATTTTCGTTAAGGGTTCAAGAAAAAGGAGCCACAGATAAGTGAAGAAACCAAAATCTGAGGGAAAGAATTGACTCATACACAATTGCTCCTCTGCATGTTCCTTTATTCTTCCTGTCTTCCTCTCTTTCTCTCTCCAGTTCTTGAACACACCACACACACACACACACACACACACACACACACACACACACACACACACACACGTATATTTGCAACAGTAATTCTTTTTGCTATATAATGTGAGGCTTGAGTTTCTCAGGGTTTGCAAGACAGATAAGATTTACACACAGAGCAACGAACTAAAACTGCTAGGAGAGATTTAGTACCAATTGCTTAGGGCTATAGGTCAAGGAGATGGTCTAAGTTTAATTTGTACAAGAAGCACTTTCCAGTGCTCTGTGGCAGCATGAGTCTCTAGGAAAGTTTACTTTTCCCTGAGGATGAACAAAAGGGCTAATTACCTTTGTCACTATCTTCCCAGGGTAAACAGAAGGAAGCAGTAAACCCCTGAGCTAAAACCTTGAGTTAATAAAACAAGAAGTTTGAGAATCTTTTAGTGCAGGGTTAGTTTAGGTTATCACTTCTCTATCTCCCAGTGAGGTTAAATTAAGACATGCTTATTTTTTTCTAGGCAGCTCTGAATCAACTGCTTTGAGCAGGTAGTAATTCTATGTCCTTGGATATCTGGGAATGTCTTAGATGGAATTCTTTTGCCTGGGCCCTAAACACTGTTCAAATAGATGCCTGTCAATAAAGGTAATTGCAGGAAGGCAGATCTCTGCAATCACATAAGAGCCGGGAACAAGGACTTGATAGTGGGGAACAGGTCTCACACATAGCTAAGAAATGTAATCAGTAAACTCCAAATTTAGGGGAGGAATTGTTCCCAGTAAATGATCAGATAGTGCTAAACTGTGGTAAGTAAATCCCAAGTTTGTTGCAAAAGGAATAAGCTACAGTAAGAATCTACAGCCAGAAACAGCCAATTCATTCACAAGATTGTAACACCAAATAAGACTTTTGTATTGGTTTAATCTATTAGAAGAATTCTTAATTTTTCTGAGTTGTCTCATGATGTGATGGCTTTATAATTACTGTGTGATCTTGAGGCTTGTAGCAGTGTGTGTGCGCGTGCGTGTGCGTGTGTATGTGTGCGCGCGCACGCACATGCACAGTGTGTACAGGTACTCACCTAAGAGTGTATGTGGACGTCAGAGGACAACCTTCTCCCACTTCTATCTTGGTGACACATGGCCTCTCTTTTTATTGTCATTGCATATTTCAGCCATATTGCAGGTAGGCCTGCAGTCTGTCAGGAATTCTTATGTCTCTCCCTCCTCACTGTAAGAGCACTGGGAGGATTGAGTGTATCACTGCCTAGCACTACATGGTTTCTGGGTATCTGAACCCAGGCCCCCAAATCTATGGGGTGAGCTGTTTATTCAAAGAGCCAACTCCTCAGCCTGCATGTGTGAAAATAATTAGCATTGCATAATAATTGTTATTATTTGAAGAAACAGTCCTTGTGGGAAAGAAGAAGACTAGAGCTATTAGTATACAGACAATTTACTATTTACTGAGAACTTACCATGGGCTGTTTCTTCCTTTATTATTTTTGTTGTTTTCTGAGATAGGGACTTGCTGTAGTCCAGTTTCCCACCCACTAGCTATCACATTTAATACTGTGTGAGGTAGGTTCCTTTAGTCTCTGTAGATTGGGCAATGAAAGGAGAAGCAATTGGCCAGTAAGTGTCATGCTTGAGAGGTTGAGCTGGCCTGTCTATGCTCAGAGACTGCATTCCTAACCCAGGTTTACCTGTGTTACCCATGAAATTATGCCCATGTCCATATGTAGACATGCTCACTGTTCCTATTATATTTTATTACACCTCAAATGCTAATTTTGGCATTTGGCAAAGCCAGCTAGCTAGTGAAATTCTGGAAATTCTTTATTTTTAATTTATTTTTAGCAGTGTATGCCATGACTCGCCTGACATTTTGTTAATGTAAGGTCATGAACTTTCCTTTTGTTAGACCCAGAGCCCAAAAAGCCAGAAAAAGGCAAAAGGTGTCCTTGGTGGCCATGTGTAGTAGTGCATGCCTGTGATCCTGGAACATGGAAAGCTGAGGCAGGAGGATAGTGAGTTCATGGGCAGCCTCAACAACACAGAGAGATCAAGGTCAGCCTAGACTACACACACACCTGAGCCTTACAAAATAAACAAACAAAACAGAGTGGGTTGATCTTGGTGGGGTCTGTAGGTCAGGATGAACCAGATAAAAATGACCCCTTTGGGAGGTCAAATGACCCTTTCACAGGGTTGCCTAAGACCTGGAAAACACAGATATTTATATTACAATACATAACAGTATCAAAATTGCAGTTGTGAAGTACAACATCAATAATTTATGGTTGGGGTCACCACAACATGAAGAAGTGTATTAAAGGATGGAGGCCTTGGGAAGGTTTTGAACCACTGGTATAAATGATCCTAACAGACCAAGTCTGGGAAGACTACTATTGCTCATTCTAGGCAGAGAGTGGACAAGACCCAACTCCTGTCCTTGAGCCAGTGTGGCTGTGAGGGGTTTCCATTTCCTCTTTGTCACTTGGAAGAGATGAGCATAGTGTGGGCTCCAGAGAAGACTCTCCAGGTCAGCTGCCATGTGACCTGGGCCTATCTATCTGTAAAGCAGGGATAACAAGTATTTTATTTATAGAACTGAGATTGTCCAAGGGAGCTGAGCAGAGCAAGTTCTTTGCCCAGGACCTGTCAGTAGCTGCAGGATGGGTGGTGTTGGTATTGCCATTATTGTGGTCTTGTGTGTGTGTTTGTGTGTGTTTGTGTGTGTGTGTGTGTGTGTGTGTGTGTGTGTGTGTGTGTGTGTGTGTTTATTTGCCTTGGATCATGTGGTCAGAATGTGGTTGATTCGTTATATTTTTGGCACATTTAGTAGAAAGGGACTATTACTCTTTAGTACTCTTTTCTACTTAGCAGGTTTTCAACACTATGGAGCAGATCATTTTAGTCATTGTGACTTTCATCTTTTTTTCTTAGTAAAATGTCTTCATAGCATTTTAGTCTTAGTTGTAATAAGTCAACAATTTATGTCTTAAATAATGCTAATAGGCATTAGATAACTGCCAACCCAGAAGTAGTGCCAAGACCTATTCTGAGCATTTTCTGTGTCTTAACTAATTTAATTCCCACAGCTTTTTAAAAAGGTAAATTGTGTACCCATGCATAGGTTTTGGATTTATATTCTGATAGTCTTTATCAAAAATGCATAGCTTTCTAAGAAAAGTTATACGGATTAAGTTTAGTAATAAAGGAGTATGTAGATGAAATTTTCTGTCCCATTCAGTCCCAAATAAACACACAGAGGCTTGCATTAATTATAAACTGTGTGGCCTATTGCTTTGGCTTATTACTAACAAGCTCTTATAACTTAAATTAACCCATAATTCTTGTCTATGTTTAGCCATGTGGCTTGGTACCTTTTCTCATTTTGCTTCCTCTTTGCCTGGGTGGCAACTTCGACTCTGCCTTTCCTCTTCCCCGAATTCTCGTAGTCTGGTAGCTCCATCTATACATCTTGCCTGACTACTGGCCAATCAGCATTTTATTAAACCAATGTGAGTGACAAATCTTTACAGTGAACAAGAGCATTATCCCACATCAGGAGAATGTAAACATGATTTGTTTATACTTATTCATTGGTCTTTTACAAAGCACATTTTCTGACATTGTTGGATTTAACTGTGAGCTTGATGTCCTGTCTCTCTTGAGATGAGCCTGAACAGACACATATGGAGCAATTATTGCAACCGAGATTGAGTGTAAGGCTTGGGCTTTGAAAACACTCGCTTTTGAAGTGTGGCAACAGTCTACTCTGCTGTCTTGTATTTTAGGTTGGTAGTTACCTGTAACAAAGTCAAGCCTTCAGTGGTTCCCGTCCTCTGTCCCAACATTAAACTGATCCATTGGCTGTACCCTGTTTTCACCAGTCAAATTTTCACACAGCTATTTAGCAGAGTCTGCAACTGTCATGGCTCCCAAGTCAGCATTTGCATATCGTTGATTTAATGAGATTTCCCCAGATTTTATGTTCATGTGAGAAAAAAAAAAAAAAAAAAGTCAGGGGCAGGGGAATTGGCTCAGCAAAGAATCTGCTGCTTGAGAGTGAGAACCTGCCTGTATGAGAGAGAGTCTGCCTGTGAGAGAGAGCCTGCCTGAGAGAGAGAGAGAGAGAGAGAGAGAGAGAGGCTGCCTGTGAGAGAGAGCCTGCCTGTGAGAGAGAGCTTGTCTGTGAGAGAGAGCCTGTCTGCCTGAGAGAGAGAGTCTGCCTGTGAGAGAGAGCCTGCCTGCCTGAGAGAGAGAGGGAGGCTGCCTGGGAGAGAGAGAGCCTGCCTGTGAGAGAGAGCCTGCCTGTGTGAGAGAGAGCCTGTCTGCCTGAGAGAGAGAGGGAGGCTGCCTGTGAGAGAGAGCCTGCCTGTGAGAGAGAGCCTGCCTGTGTGAGAGAGAGCCTGTCTGCCTGAGAGAGAGAGAGAGGGAGGCTGCCTGTGAGAGAGAGCCTGCCTGCCTGAGAGAGAAAGAGAGAGAGAGAGAGAGAAAGAGAGAGAGAGAGAGAGAGAGGAATAAGCCAGCGTTGGTCTTTGGCATACACATTCATGCTGTGTCCACATACATAAGCATGTTTCTCTCTTTCTCCTCTTCCCCTCCACCCCATACTACAGTTAAAAGATAACTGTGTGTGTGTTAGTTGAAAATGCCACAGTAGCGAGTGAATTTTGTTTGTAATAAACCAGAACTCTTAGCCTCTCAAGTGAAAATGATTATTGAGGCTTCTCAGACAATCAGAGAACCTAACTGGAGGGACTATAAATTTCTTCCAAGAGCCTGGATTATCCTAGATCAATTCCTTGGCAAGGCTCTCTTAGCTGCCTTGACTGTGCCCTGTTCTCTTCTGCTGTCCTCGTGATGGAGAATTTGAGACACAGCAGGCTATGTAACTTGTCTGAGGGGTAAATACAGGCCAGTGATGGGCCAATTCAGTGTCTACGACCTTAGGGCTGAGAGCATTTACTTCAGTTCCTTAGCACAACACGGTCTATTGTGTCAAAAGGTTTTCACTAGGGTGAGCACTGCACAGCAGATACACCAGTAAGTTCATTTCTAGATACAGCAAAAGCCTCAAAGGGCTGGTGATTTACCCAGGTTTGGAGTGAATTAAGGAGCCTAAATGAAGAGCCAAAGCTGCACTTCTGTCCTCTTTGCCTAAGGTCAGCCCTGTGCTGTGTCTACTGTTCTGCAGTAGAGGGCAGTAATGCATTGTCATTTGTTCTGCACATTCTGGGAAAAGATGTATTCCAAATAGGCAAATGGCTCTAATTCAAAAGTGGGCTTTGGAGGAGGCAGCCCTTTTTAAAAATGGACCCATTGTATCCACCATGGTTCATTTTCTATACTTGACTTTAGCCAAAAGGCCAAGAAAGGATGTGGCTCATTTTCTGTTTACATCGACAGCCAAATAGAACCAGACACTGGAGAAGGTGATGATTGGTGAGCTGGAACAAAGGCAGGAATCTGATGTACACCTTGAGTAGTCAGTCTGTGCATGAGAGTGATTAAACCCAAGCCCCAGATATTTGGTCTTCAGTTTGATGTGAATTCAGAATTAATGTTATTAATTTTAAAATATAAGGTTTAGGGGGCTCAAGAGATGCTTCAGCAGTTGAGAGCACTAGCTTCTCTTGCAGAGGACCAGGGTTTGGTTCCCAGGACCCAGATGGTGGCTCACAACTACCTTTAGCTCCAGTCCAAGAGGACGTGGCCCCCTTTTCTTGCTTCTGCAGACACCAGGCTCAAGTGTGGTGCATATGCACACATGCAGGCAAACACTCACACACATAAACTAGAGTCTTTTTAAAGTAAGGCTTAGACTTGGATAGTTTAGATAGTTACTCTGAAACAGAGCTATCCATAGGACTCTGCTACCAGATTCAGGTAGTTAAAGAGGCACTGTAAGATCAGCCTAAATCCAGTTCTGCCAAGCTTCCCTTGGACCAGCCCACTGCCAGGAGGCAGTGACTCGGCTGCAGTGAAGCAAGGCTTCTCAGCATCACTTGGGGAACGTCACAGACATGGTGGGTGTTTGACTGAGAACACCTACAAGTACATACATGGATGCCCTGCAAGAATGCTGGGAAAGAATGCTGGGAAAGCAGATGGTTGAAAAGCACTTTCCAGAATGTCGCAGCAAAGCGGTTGCTGTGAAACAGCTGCATGCCATGCTCACCGTGCCCCACACCTGGCATTTTCTTTCGTGGAGAGGCCAGGAGCTCTGTAGACTGCATTCACTTTTCTTTCTTCCTTGTTTGATTGATTTCCTCCCCTTGTGTTTCCCAGAACATCTCGCTTTGCCTCATTCCCTGAATACTTGGTAGTGCAGATAAAGAAGTTCACTTTTGGTCTTGACTGGGTTCCCAGAAAATTTGGTAGGTATCCTTTGCATGCTTTTGCTTAAACTATAACGTGAGCCACTTAACAAGACATGGCATGTGAAAGAGGCTGTGGGGATATCTGCCCCCATCACATCCATTCCATTGTCTCTGTTACTTCTCCCTTTCTCTGGGCTCACAGCCTGAGAAACACCAACAATAAGAAATGCTAATCACCCCTTCACTCCTGAGCTCTGGAAGCATCATGTTCTAGGAGGGAAAGTACAGTCCTCACAATGGCACGTCCCGGATGCTACTGTGCATACTGTCACTTGGGGTCATTGGAAAACTGGGGTGCTAATTGACGGATGCAGGGTGGCTTGAGAGACTGTGTTTCTAACCCACCCCACTTTTCTCTGTGCTCACAGACTCAGGTTGGCATTGCTAGTCTAGACGCCACGCTTGGAATAGCAGGTAGCTGGGGATACAGGCTCCTCTTAGCAGCCTCCCTGCCTCTGAGATACAGTAGATTCTGCTGACATTCATCTAAGTCATACAACTTTTTAACAGTCACATGGAAACAGTTGCTTTGCATAATTGAAAGAAGGTTTGGGCTTCACTGGGCTTTCTTTTCACCTGTATGTAAGGCCCTTGGTCATCGTGGAAGGCTTATTTTCCAGAGAAGGCATAAAGGCCATTTCCTCCACTACCAGGGTTGAGTCTGGGAGGGGGGGGGTCTTAAGTGGCTCCAGGATGTGGAAACATGTGTATTTTGCCCTTTATAGCTTCTCAAGCAAGGACTTCAAACTGTTTGCCAATCCCTTACAGATCTGTGTTTGAGAACTTCTTCAAGGAAACATTGCAAGTCTTAAGAGTCATCAAGACACTGGTACAAGGGACAGGGAGACAGGAGGAAAACCAGCCAGGGTGATTTTGTAGGAAGCTTGGTGCAGGTGGGCACACAGTGACTGCTTTTCCTTTGTGCTGGGCATTTCCAATGCTCAGGAAACCCTTGGTTTTCTTTCTGGAAGACTTTAGGGAGTAGAGAGGGTCTGAGGATAGGGAGCTGACCACTCTATTCATTTCTGGAGGGACTAGATATTTGGGATAGAAAACTTTGGATTTCTTTGGACAGTTTTCTTTCTTTCTTTTTTGTTGTTGTTCTTGGAATTTTTGTGAAGGAACAAAAATGAAATCAGATTTTATTGATCAAGTTTAAAGGAGTCTCAAGGAGGGCCTAGACTTTTCTCTTGAGGAACAGTTGTATCAATACTGTGAGTCTGACCTTGTGTTTAGTTTTACTTGTCCTTAAATTTAACTTTCCAAACTTAGCTTTAGTTCCTGGATAATATTATTTCATTTACACCTATTTGTTTAGTCTGTTTTTTTGAGGCAGCATCTCATGTATCCCAGGATGGCCTTAGATTTACTGTGTAGATGAGGCTAACCTTGAACTTCTGATCTTCCTGCTTCCACTTCCCAAGTTCTGTGTTTACAGACATGTGCTACCATGCCCAGCCTGCTTTGTATCTTAAGTAGGATTTACATGTGTGGCATCTTTTGGAGGCAGTTATTCTTTAGGCCTGAAGAACAGAACCCTGTAATTGTAGTTGAATCCACTTCTATTCGTTTGCATAGGTGCAGCACTACATCTCAGATGCTATTTGGCTTATAAATCTTGCATCCGAGTAATTCAAATGCAGTAGCAACTGAGCCAAGAGGGTTTTGTTTTTCTCTCATAGCATCCAGGGGTAGACACTTAATGATTCAGTCAAGTTCTTTTGCGCTTTATAATTTATAACTTATAACTTGCTTACAATCATTACAGTGTTCATCGTGATTGTAAAAAAGTATAAAGTAGGAGTTTTCAAACCCAAATGTGTAACGAGGGTAGGGAAGCAAAATGCAGGAAAGAAGAGCTGCTGGGTAGAGGTATACACATCCTACTCTCATGGCAGGCTCCACTGTGTGTAATAACACAGTTCAGAAAGACATCCTCTCCCCTATGCATGATGTGCATGTTTGGGGCAGTCCAGAGCAGTGAGGGTCAGTGTGAAATGGTTACAGAGGCCACCATTGTTCAAAATAGAAGCTAAAGGGAAGCCCAGACAGTTAACACAAGAGATTATGCTTCACAGCTTTTGAAATCTGCAAGTCTGAATTTTAAAATTAAATCATGTCCATATTTTAAGAAATACAAAATGGAATGAGTTCAGACCACAGATAACCTGGTTGCTAGTCTGTGATCTCTGGCTTATCTGACCTATTGCTCTCCAGTGTGATGCATCTGTCCTACCACTCCTTGCCCATTCCCTGAGCCCTCCATTAACTCTCATGTGGCTTGACAAATCTGCTGTGCTGTGTGTCCCTTAGGTTGCCTAGATATATGCATGCAGTGAACACGTGCAGATTTATAATGAGCTGATTGCGGGCTCTGGAGAGTCCAGTTAATATAATCTTTTGTTTTGCAGATGTTTCTATTGATATGCCAGACCTACTAGATATCAGCCATCTCAGAGCCAGGGGCTTACAGCCAGGAGAAGAGGAACTTCCAGACATCAGTCCCCCTATAGTCATTCCTGATGACTCAAAAGGTACCATCTCCTACTGGAAGGATACTCCTCCCTACCACCCTCTTCCAGCCAGGTGTAGTTACTATTTCACCATTAAACTACTCCCTGTCATTGATCTAGACACATAGGAATTAAGCAAGGCACTGTGCACTTCAAACACATATAGTGTGAGTCTCTGTTTTGGGCCTTGGTGGCAGAGGCCCTGAAAGGGCTTACAGACAGTGGTGAGCAGCAGGGAAGCCAGGATGGCTTTTCATACTGTCCCTATCAATAATGCTCAGGCCAGAGCCCTTGATTTATAAGTAGACAGTGTTCTTAGAATTAAATACAGAGATTGAAATTATTTATCTCACGGAGATGTCAAAATTTCCTGTTATATTTGCTTCTATGTACCCCCAAACCTGTTGTTTCCCATCATTACTGTAATGAACTGTTTTGCAGGTGGTGTGTGTGGGTAACAAAGAGTGAGAGGGTCTGGAAATATCTTGGACTGATATGGTTTCTTTTTTTTGTAAAACTATTGGCCATGGCTAGCTCTTATTTATCAACCATTCCTTCATTTCTAGATCGCCTGATGAACCAGTTGATAGACCGTAGGTATCTTTAAAAATGTTTTTTGTTGTCTTACAGTTGTTGCTAGTGTGACATGTTTTAAAGATTTGTTCATTGTTATTTATATATGGGTGTCTTACCTGCATGCATATCTGTGTACCATGTGAATGCCTGATGCCCACAGAGGCCAGAAGAGGGTGTCAGAGTTCCTGGAACTAGGGTTTGAGAAGGTTGTGAGCCACCATGTGAGTGCTAGGAACAAAGCCTAAGTCCTTTGGAAGAGCAGCAAGTGCTCTTAACTTCTGAGCCATCTCTTCAGCTCCTAATGTGACATCTTCCCCCTCCCCCCACCATGGTAGTTCAGCAAAGTAGCATTGTTTTGTGCTGGATATATGCAGTTATTCCTGGGTGGAACTATCTGTAAGTTGAGTAAGCAACAAATATAGACCAATGACATGTTGCTTAAGTGACCCTTGAGAGCCTGCAGCCCTGTCAGGGAACCTCGGCTTTGCTGCTTAGGACTGTGTGGCCTGGAACAAATTGTTTCCTACTCTATAGGCCTCAATTACCTCATTTGTAAATTGAGGTAATAATACCATTTTTTTTCTCATGAATAGCTCAATAATTACATAGCATAAAAAGAAGTCAAATTAAGCGCCAACAAAATGGACCTGTCATCAGGCTGTCTGTAGATTAGATAAGGGGTTGAAGGTTAATGAAGGTGGGAAGACGTGGAAAATTCTGTTTTTCATGGTGAGATACCCTGCTGTACTTGTAGCTGCAGACATTGACGAATCCTCCGTGATGCAGCTGGCTGAGATGGGCTTCCCTTTGGAAGCCTGCCGGAAGGCTGTGTACTTCACTGGAAACACTGGAGCTGAAGTGGCCTTCAACTGGATTATCGTTCACATGGAGGAACCTGGTAGGTGGCCATATGGGGGCTCTTTGGGGTTCATGTCCCCAAGGATGTGTCCCCAAGGATGAGTTTTCAGATGGTAACATGCTACAGTTTGGACAAAGTCACAGTCTTAATCTTTTAAACAACAGCTTTCTTAGAATAACTTCCTCCTTAAAGGTGTCCACATTTGGTTGATCATTAGAAAGATGTGGTGTTTATTTCAAGCTTGAAATGGAAAAGTGGAGAAATGGAGGCCCTTTCCCTTGCTTCCTGTTTCATCTGCTTTCTGACGATGTCATCCACATATCCACCCATCAGGAGTGTACATTCACATGGATTGTAGTCACTTTACAATTAAGCAACTGTGTAATTCGAGAATATTTTTGTATAACCAAAAGAAATGCTATAGGTGGGAGGCATCTGTGGTAATTTGGATGTAACTGGCTCCCATAATCTCACAGGGAGCAGCACTGTTAGGAGGTGTGGCTTTGTTGGAGGACTTATGTTACTGTATGTGTAGGCTTTGGGGTTTCCTTTGCTCAGGAAACTGCTCAGTAACTCAGTCGACCTCTGTTGCCTGTAAGATACAGCACTTTCAGCTCTGGTGATACGTCTGCCTGATTGCTTCCATGCTGCATCTCTGAAACTATAAGCAAGCCACCCCAATTAAGTATTTCTTTATAAGAGTTGCAGAGGTCATTGTGTCTCTTCACAGCGATAGAAACCCTAACTCAGACACCGTCTCTTCCATGTTCTTGCTCTCTCTAGTGCTTAACCTTCACTAATCCACTTTCTGGGTATCCTACAATTGTTATGGATTTGCCTATTTTTGACAGTTTATATGAATGGAATTGTACAACATGAGGCCTTTGTGTCAGGCTTCTATTGCTTTTCATAATGTATTTAGGGGTCTAATCTGTAGCATGAACAGTACTTCCCTTTTATGGCCATATAGCATTCTATTGTATAGCCATACCACAGTTTATCTACATCTACTTCATTTTATGAATTATACTTTTTGTGTCATATACAAGGAACCGTTGTTTAACCCAATGTCACTAAGGCTGACTCTTGTGTATTCTTTTTTAATTAAAAAAATTAAAATTATTTTAATTAATTCTTTAAATTGATACTTTTAGCTCCTGTGTTTAAGACAATGATCCAGTTTGAGTTGATTTTGTGTTACATGAGGAGGAGCTTCTGTCTTTATGGCTTTGTATGCAGATAGCCATATCCTCCAAATGCTTTCTGACCTCCATTGACTCATATGTCTAGCCTCAGATCTGGTTATGCAATTTTGTTTATTTTTCCACAATATACTTACTCTTACAATGTTTGTTTTCAAAGCAAAAACCCAGAAAAATTTTAGTACAGTTATTTTCCTCAGATTTTGCTGAACCCTTGGCCATACCTGGCTATGGAGGAGCTGGGGCCTCTGTATTTGGTGCTACTGGACTGGACAACCAACCTCCTGAGGAAATTGTAGCTATCATCACGTCCATGGGATTTCAGCGCAATCAGGCAGTGCAGGCCCTACGAGCTACGGTGAGCATTGGTAACTGTGAGTTAGGCAATTTTGGCCTTGCTGGAGGTGGTTTCAATTTGGTCCTTGGCAACAGAGACCTCCCAATGTCCTTTGATCATTTCAAGTCATCTTTGTCTGACTGTGTCCCATCACACTTCAAGAAGATTTATTTGCATGTAGTATACACAAAACTAAATGAACGGATGATGTACTCATGTAGTACGCTTGGGCATAAGAGGGTATGGAGCTGGGCCAATATGACCAGGACCTTGAATGTTTCATAGCAGGGCTCACAGGTCTGCTTGGAGTTTGTCAGGTTCTAGAGGTGCCAAGGTTCTGGCTTGGTTAGAAAGTATTTAAGATGAAACCATGCCATTTTGATATGGAGACCTTGGAGAAATAATGTCTTGAAGATCCTTGTAAAAAGTCCTTGGGATTCTCTGCTACTGTTTCCCTCCGCAGAGTAGAGTTTCTTCTGTAGTTATGAATGTCTCGATTCACCGGGAAGGGATTATGCAACAATGGGTTGGTGGTGTAGGTATTCATGCTAAAGCCCACCATCCTTTGTTATTGCGGTAAATAAGGATCAGGATAAACAAATAGGCCGAATAGATGTTTATTCAGGGAGAAATAACTTACAACCTAGACAGATGAACACCAGGAAATTCAACCCGATCCTCTCCTGTCTGAGTCACGCCAGAAAGAGAGTGCCTTCCTGGCCCCCTCCGACCTCCTTCCACAGGTCACTTCCGCCCATCGCTCCACCCCCCAATGGGCGTGGTCAGTGCCACAGAAGGACTATCTCACTACAATTCCCCTTTTAGTCTAAAGAAAAGATTTAGGCTTAATACAAAACTATATACAAAACAGTGAATAACAAGTGTGCTCCAAGAAAAGGAAAATCGAGAACAAAATGACCTACATATCTAGTCCTAGGGTGAGGGCATAATGGAGTTTACAATAGAGTTGTCCTAAGCTGGAAAATGTAAGTCTAGTACCTAATATATCTAACTAGGAAGAGAGAATAATAGTTGTGATAGTTTAATCTTCAACCTCATCAAGACCTGAGAAGGAAATTAACAATACTAGAGTAGACAGGAAATGCGGATGGACAACTTCCAAAAGGTGCAGCAAGGACAGAAACAGCAAGCCACCTGAACAGTCATCCTAGGTCTCACAGTGACGTTGGTACACCCAGATTTGGCTAAGGCCAAGAGAACTTGACAGACCATAACAACAGCAGGGAAATAGAATGGCTGTCTTACCCTGACTTGGCAAGGTCAAGCAGTCTTTTATATTTGTCTCCTGCAAGCACATAGGACTGCATGTCCAAATCAGTGGTCAAGGTGGGGGCAATTCTATGCCCAACAGGCCATTAGCTGAGGCGAGATTGAACTCCAGCAGGAGCAACAACAGTGTCCAACATATTTTCGGGAAAGTGCATGGTGCTGTCAGGAGCAACAGTGTCTCATGTCAATGGAGTACTAATATTAAAACATTTAAATGCCATGTTCTGCATGTCTATGAAGTGACTGAAGATTAAGCATCTATATCTGACTAATCTCATAGGTACAGGAAATGTGAGTGAAGATGATCTGTAATACTCGGGAACTTAGCTAAAAAGACTGATTAAAACTTTTCTGAGTAAAGCAGGAACAAATACTTAAACAATATAACTATTTACATATACCTACATGTAAATCCCTAAAATAGAGGTAGAGTATAAGTGTCAAGACAAGAGGTAGAACTATAAAGGACAGCAAGATAAATATCCCAAATTGTATCAATATACAAAATGTCTTGAATACAAGAAAAGTATACATACATAGAATATGGTAAAAATAATGTGCATAAAACATTGTAAGTGGAAATATTTAACACAATATAACAAAATATAAACTTAATTTTACATAGCTTACCACATAAGAATACACAACAATGTAAGCTGTAAAATACTATCTCATTTTTACTCAAATTCTCAAGAAAATAGGCTAATCTACCTATATCCCATCTAAACCATACCTTTACCAACCATTCCCTATTCCTGTCTAAAAGATAAACCCGAGTGTAAGCATTACCCAATCCCAAATAACTAAAACCAACCTAAAGACGATGACTATTATCCCAAAATTCCAAGGGTAGGGAAATGGGGGCGTAGTCATATTAAGATTACTTCCTGCTGAAATGGGACGATGATTGCTCCAATGGATCCTGTAGGAAGAAAATTTTTAGCAACCAAATTTCTCAACAGAGCTGGCTGTGACATATGTAGCTAGTCACTGTGTGGCAGAAAATTCTTGACTGTAGTTGTATTTGAAACTGGCCAGGGTGTAATAAAAAGGTGCACCATTACAGCTAGCTAGTCATGAGTTGTCTAGAGCAAAACAGTCTCAAACCGGTTTTAGGGTGATGTTTGTAGTTCCGATGCATCAGGTTGAGTCAAGTGGAAATGATGATGTGGGGCCGCATCTTCTTTCCGGAGAGTTCAAAGACTGGTGTTAGGAATCGTTATTATTTCTTGTGGAAAAGTTACACATCAATATTAAAGTAAAAATTTCAAGTTTTAAGGTATGCATTAGGGAAAGACAACAATAAGCATTAAAAGTATGTGAGAAAATTAGGATTTCAGAGAGAAAATTGCATATAAGTCCCCAGATTGCATATGAGTCCCCAGATTTTGTTTTCTTCACAATGGGTTGGTGGTGTAGGTATTCATGCTAAAGCCCACTATCCTTTGTCACATCAGAATTCATTCTGAGTGGCTGTGAGCTCCCAGGTCCTTTAGCCTGTCCTGACTGGGTTACCTGCTAGAGCCCATTGCTGAGATCATAGTGAGTCTTGACCAGGTCATGGGAATTTTGTTTCAACCATACTTTTTCTCACTTGAGTACTTTTCATGAGCCCTATTTTGTTTCATTGAAGTTTCTCTATATAAACAAATTCTTTAGCTTGTTAGTGCAAATTACTTCATGTGCAGCTGGTTTGAACCATATGGGGTTCCATTAAAGCAACCATTAACCAAGGAATACATTCCTGCATTCTTCCTGTATTTAAGGCAAGGGGGCACTAATGCACATTGTCACCTTTATTTTACAAAGATGTCAATGGTAAAGAACACAGTATATATAATTACTATGGCTGTAGAAAGGGCTGTGCGGAAACATAGCCCTTGACTTGGGCACTTTGCATTCCTCATCTTTGGCACCAGCCTGCAGTAATACTGAGCTAAGACAAGGTGAGGTATTGGAGCTCAGTTTTTGGTCACCGCTGTGTCAGGGCATGTGTGGGAGAGTGACAAGAGTTCGAGCTTCTCACTCAGAGATGCTCAGGACCAATTAATTTATGCCTCCTGCCTGGCTGCTTGACACCTGATACAAATGTCTGGGACTTGATGAGGCCTGGACTCTGAATGCATTGTGAATTTCCTCTCTTCAGAATCATAACCTGGAAAGGGCATTGGACTGGATCTTCAGCCACCCGGAGTTTGAAGAGGACGGTGACTTCATGATTGAGATGGAGAACAATGCCAATGCAAACATCATGTCTGAGGCCAAGCCTGAAGGGCCCAGAGTCAAGGATGGATCTGGAAGTAAGTCTTGCCATACACATTCTCTCATCAGTCATGATGTATTTCAAGTCACACCTTCTTCCCCCTCTGTGTACCAGAACAACTTTATCACGGAGCTGTCGTCTCATAAATGGTATATCCTGCCACTTTGGTTACCATGGTTTGATAAAAATCAGATAATGGAGTGCCATGCCACAGATGTGTTGGTGTGTGTGTGTGTGTGTGTGTGTGTGTGTGTGTGTGTGTGTGTGTGTGTGTGTTAGGTACAAGTTTAGACTTTGTATATTCCTTTCTATGCATGCTGGGTATTGGTTAGGCTAGGCAAGCACACATTCATGGAGCTACATGTCCAACCCAACTTTGTCCTTTCCAGTGAGGTTTACATTTCTTCATGAAAGATGACAGCTTGGCCAAAAGAAGCATCTATATTCATAGAGGACTGATTTGAATATGGAAAAGCAATCTTAGATTCATGATGACTCTCGCATTTCCAGGCTGCCTGCTGGCAGTTTCCTGAAGGGCTGTTCCAAGATGACTGGAAGTGGTGTTCCACAGGCAGACTAGTGTTATATCTTTCAGGAGCCAACTATGAGGTAGTGGTTGGGTGCCAGGCACTGTTGTAAGCACTTTGTATATAAACACTCCTTACATTCTTACCATAGCCAATTTCACAGGTGAGAAAATGGAGTTGGAAGAGTAGGTACAGAACCCAAGGTCATACAGCTCTTCAGAGGTGGGGACAAGTTCAGACCTGTCATCCATGTATATCATGATATCCTATTCCTGGGCTGTTTAGCTCTTTAGCCTGCCATTTAACATGCCTTATAGTTACCCAGCCTACCACATCTCTTACTTCTGCATCCCTCTTCCTGCAGCCTAGATGTCTGGCATTGTACCACAGCACCACCCTCTCTCCATGCCTGCTCCAGGCCTTTGCCAGGTGAATCCCTATTTGTGAAACACACACTCCCATCACAGGACACATGATCTCTTCTCTTCTTCCTCCTTCTTTTTGTCTCCTCTTCCCACCCGGTCTCATGCCTTTTCCCTCTCTTCTCTATAAAATCTGAATTTACTCACTGAAACTCTTCATTCTACTTAAGTAAGAAAAGGGTAAGACACAATTCTCCCAAATTCTATATTCATCTACAAGGTTTTATGTTTCTTTCCAGAAACCAGTAGTTCCAAACACAGGATGATCTAATAGACATGTTATCAGTGATTCAAACCAAAATATGTTCCACACTTCCACTGATTCATCAATATCCATGATGATCTTATGGAGATGCTGAGCTCTTTTGGCAGAAGGATGAACTTCAAGACTGGGTTGTTGTAAAGTTGCCACAAGATTGGGATGGGGCAGCAGGGGCTCTGATCCTCAGGGTTTCCTTTCTTCTTACAGGTCAATAATGACAAAAAACAGACACATAATCCACATAATCCCTCAGACTTACTGTATTTTAGGGCCATGCAAAGATACCCAGGTCTTGCTGGAGTCGAATTTTGCCCTTGCAGGACACCATAAAATTTCTTTCAGGTTTCTGTTAAGATACTTGGTTGGACCCTGGAGTTGTGCTGCAGGCCACAGGGATCATACAATGAGATCTCAGGTGGTAAAATCATTAGGCTGATCCCTTGAGATCATCATGCAGTCTGATGGAGGAAACCTCACTTGCAAAGCCTTGGGGATACCTGCCTTTTGAATAGTTACTGTCATCTCAGTAGAACCCCCGTGAAGCCGTAGCATTTCCCCTTTCCATAGTGGGATTCATCCCAAATCACCCCAGCAGTGTATTAACCAATTATTCGACTTAAGTCATCTTCAGCCTTTTATTTGTCTACAGTTTACACTGCCCAAGGAGAGAGACCTACACACCTTTTTAAATAAACTGCAAAAGGGTGAGATACTGTGAAGCTTTATTTATTACAGAAGTAACAATTAATATTCTAGGTATCAACTCTAGAATATTTGTTAATTAATATTCTAGGTATCAACTCTAGAATATTTGTTACTACAAATGTGGCTATACATAGAATATGTATTGGGTGCTTGGTATTCTCAAATAGGTCCCAGAGAAAGGCGATTCCTTCTCAAAGGGGCTGCAACCTTCAGATCTCATACTACATAGTTTTAGTTTTTCCCTTTGGTATAACGCTGAGAAATGTAGGCACAAGGGTGTTGGGGGGTGGAGAGGTGCCTTGGTCTCGGCTTAAGGAGATGATGGGACAGACTTAGTAGACTTCCTAGAGGAGGCCTTATCCTTTTCTGAGGAGCAGATGGGAGGGGGAATAGTAGGGGTAGTGGGAGGAGAAGAGAGAGGGGGAACTGGGATTGGAATGTAAAAAAATAAACAAATGAAAATGAGAAAAAGCAGAGGGGGGGGGTTTCTTTTAATCTGTTAACAGTATTCCAAAGCTGAAGTTTGATTGGGATAATGACATATAGTTCAAGTATGATTTTCAAGAAAGCAGCGTCATGACTTTCAAGAATCTGAAATGATTAGCTCCTTGATGGGAGAACATCACCACTGTGTAGCTCATCAGAATATATAGGATATTTCTTTTCACTTCCTATTTTGTAGTGGTCAGAATAGAACCCAGGGTCTTGTGCACACCAGGCAAGAGTTCTGTTTCTGAGTCACAGCTCTAGCCCAGGATGCTGGGCTACTTAAGAAAGAGTTGACAAAGAAAGGTTAGCGTAAGCTTGCCTGAGTTAGGGCAAAGGCTGATGTGTTCAGATTGTCCGCCCTTAACCTTGTATGTCCCACATACAAGGACAGAAACTATAACTTCCTAAGTTTGGGACTTAAGCAGTAAGTGGTGAGACAAGCCAAATCGACCCTTTGGACTGGGGGAGGTAGACGTGCTTGAATGTTATCACTTCGGGTGATTTGGTTGGGTGATTTTGAGTTGTGTCCGTAACCCCGTGATATTCAGATTTGACCGCCATGTTCACAGCTGTGTCATACTCCTCTCATTTCTCCCTTCCCCATTTCACCAGAACAAAAGCAGTCTGCGTGGAGGAGGGCTTTGATTCATGGAGTCTATCGTGGAGGTGACCTTTCTCCACACGACACTCAAATGCTCTTTTACCTTTGAGCTTCCATGGAACTTTGCTGACAGATGATTTCTTGAAGAACAATATAACATAGAGTACAATTGGTGCTACATCGGATGGGGGGAGGGGGAGGGTCACGTTACCATGTGATAGTAAAAACAAATAGAGTACAAAATTGGTGGTAGGTTGGATGGGAGGGTACCATCATGTGATATTAAAAACAAACAAACAAACAAACAAACAAACAAATGACCCTTCCTTAATTGTAAGACTGAGATAGTGTTCATCAAGTTTCAAGCAGAACAAGTTTTGCTGGGGAGAAGAGTTCTTGTTTCACAGGTAGCTTGGGCCTAGTTGTTTAGATGCTTCTCTCAGGACAGAAGACATAGCAGTGGGTCAGGCATCTCAAGTTGTTCCAAGTATTTTGAACATTTCTCTGTTGAAAGTCAGCATTTCTGAACCATTTATTTTTGACTCAAGCTGCCTTTTCTCTCTGCCTAGGGATGGAGCTGTTGTTTGGGCCAGGATCTCAGGGGACTTGGTTGAGAACCAACTAGCTTTCCCATTGGCTCTACTCATTTCAGTCTTTTTGGAAACAATATAAATTGGCATCTCTTGCCTGCTTAGCTTTTGCAAATGTGTTGAAAGCGATTCTCTCTTTTGCAGGAGGTTTTGAATAATGCATGGGAAAGTTGCTTATATTGATAAACATGGCTAATTTAAATTTTGAGACTGAGATTCATGCTAAACTTCAAACATTTATTTTTAACATTTTGAATGTAGACACTTTATTTGTTTTTATGATTCTAAGTGTACACATACATTTAGTTCTTTTTTGTTTGTTTGTTTGTTTTGTTTTGTTTTTCAAGACAGGGTTTCTCTGTTTTGGAGCCTGTCCTAGAACTAGCTCTGTAGATCAGGCTGGCCTCCTACTCACAGAGATCCACCTGCCTCTGCCTCCTGTGCTGGGATCAAAGGTGTGTGCCACCAATGTTGGCCATACATTTAGTTCTTAACTGAGGAAGCAAAAGTGCCTCTGGGGACTGTGCTGGCTAATTTTATGTAGCTCAACACAAGCTAGGGTCATTTGGGAAGAAAGAATCTTAACTGAGAAAATGTTTCAGTAGAATTGGCTTGTAGGCAAGTTGGTGGTACATTTTCTTGATTGACATGGGAGGGCCCAACTCACTGTGAATGTTGCAGGAAACCTTGGATGCTTTAAGACAGCAGGCTCAGTAAGCCATAAGGAACAAGCCACACCCTTCCATTGCCTCTGCTTCAGTCCCTGCCTCTAGGTTCCTGCCTTGAGTTCCTGCCCTGATTATTTTTGATGATGGACTTTGACCTGAGAATCATAAGCTAGAATAAATCTTTTTCACTCCAGGTTACTTTTGGTCATGGTGTTTTATCACAGCATTAGAAGCCTAACTAAGGCAGGAGTTAATGGTATGGTTTTATTGATAACATTTGGGTGCATCTTCATCTGGCTGGGTATTGTACTGTGTGGGTGTATGAGCCATGTGACACTGAGGTGGTCCTGGCTTGGGGTAGGGAGTGCCCCTTTAGTGTTTTAACATACTGTAGAAGTTACTATTTAGGGAGCAGGTGTGTGTGTGTGTGTGTGTGTGTGTGTGTGTGTGTGTGTGTGTGTGTAAGGGTAAGCCTTGGGAAGCTGTGCCTTCTTCATGAACATCTATAGGGGAGCTGCACTTGGGGACAACAGCATTGTGTTTCTTCAGCTGAAGATTTGAGATTAATATGAAATTATTCCAAAGGATGCTTCTTGCAAAATTGCTTGGCATTAAGGAAAGGTTCCCCCTTATCCTTTCCAGCCTACTGAGGTAGAGTGGGTTCTTATGTGGGAGGATGGCTCAGAGGAGACAGACAAATGTAAATTTTCTAGTTTTCTCTTTTGATAATTGAATCCTGGGTTTGATAACTGCTATAGCAACTGTTTTGCCTGGTTTCTGATTTCTAAACTGGGATTCCATTTCAGCCAGTCAATAAGACAGCAACTTAAACTTAGCAGTTGATTTATTTCCCATTAATATTCATCTACCATTTTATACTCAAATTTACATGTTGTCACGAGGTTTATAAAAACATATACACTATAAAAAGCTATAGAAACAAGCATGGACATGAGAAGAATTACCTTTTTCACTTATTGACTAAAACATTCAACAGTGTCATGAAAGTCACCTTTTTTCTGTGTCTAGAATATTTTAAGAAAAGCTGCAAACTCTCTGTCCTTGTCAAGCTGTGTTTTAGACTGGGCTAACAGGTGGTAGATGATACGTGTGTGGCACTCTGTGTGTTTGGACAATAAGGCAGGATGAGGGAATGACAGGAGTGAGTCGAGGAGGGAGATTGGTGAGTGTTTGATGAGGTGGTTTTGATGAGGTGGCATCTTACCTGTGGCCTTGAGTCATGTGCAGATTGAACAACAAAGTGTTGCTAGAAGGAATAGTAGGCATGGAGGTTTGAGGGCAGAGCTCTCTGGGTGTGCTTGAGGTCTGGCCAGGGGCCAGAGTAGCTAGAGTGAAGTAAGGGGAATGATGAGAAGAAGTTGGGGGAAATCTCATGGGCTGTTGCAAGAATCAGAAGTTACTGTGGTCTGTTGGAAGTCACCAGAGAGCATTGGGAAGACTAATGACCACAATTTGACTTCCATTAAAAAAAAGAGAAAGGAAAGTAAAAGGCCACTCTGGGAGCCATTCTGAGAGTAGTTCAAGTGTCAGAGACAAGAGAGGGACAGAGGTAAGTTAAGAGACTTGTAACCAGTCCTAAGAAAGGCAATGGTGACATGGGCCCAGGAGCATGAGTGGAGAAGGGTGTGATGTCTGGGTCCTGGATATATTTTGAAAGAGATTATACTAATGATTTGGCTAGATATAAGGAACAAGAGTGATACCAAGAGTTTTGACACAAGTTATCAGAAGAATGAACTTGCCATTGATTGAGGTGGTAAGGCTGAGGGGAAACTATTAACCAACTAGGGACAAAAGCTGGTGTCCTATGATGCCCATAGGTTGTAGCATGAGTCAGTCATCTTGTTTGACTCATTGGCCCTTTCTAAAACTACCAGTAGTCTTCCTCACATTCCTCATATTTGACTCTAAATTTCAAAAAGCTCTGCAATGTGGGTGGTGTTTCAATTTTCCTGCCCTTCCTCCTTCCCTCTCCTCCATTCTGCCCTCCAGTCTTCCCTCTCTCCTTTGCCCAAGCCCTCTTCTCTGCCCTCCTTCCTCCTCTCCTCTCTCTCTTCCTTCCCTCCCTTTTCTTCAGACTCAGTGATAGAAACAGACTCAAAAGTATGGAACAGCATTTCCATCCTCATGCATCTTTCAGACCTGTAAGCTTGCTGCAGACTTGGGGGGGGGGGGTAGCGGTAAGGGGGTGGGGTGGGATAATCCTGCTTCTGGATTTGAGTTTGGCACCAGCATTTCTTGCTGTACTTTGACCGTTTATTCCTGCTTGCTGGTGGGACTCCATATCAGTGTGTGTGTGTGTGTGTGTGTGTGTGTGTGTGTGTGTGTGTGTGTGTGTGATCAACACAGCCTGGTTAACTGGAATTGTGAGTCTGGACAGCCAGTGGCTCACCTGTCTGCTCCAGGTGCTGCTCGGGACCATATTGTGTTTTTTATTGCTGCCTTGTAACTGAATTGTTTTCTTTTCCCTAGTGTATGAGTTATTTGCATTCATCAGTCACATGGGAACATCTACAATGAGTGGCCATTATGTTTGCCATATCAAAAAGGAGGGACGGTGAGTCTTTTTAGAAAGATGGTGCATAGCTGTGGTGTTGAGCCTCTTCTGGATTCAGCTAATGTACTAGTGTTTTTCTATGTTATTTCTGGTTCTTACATTGATTTTTTTTTAATTTTTTTTTTTTAACTTTTGAGATGGGGGCCTCAGTATGTCTTGGCTGGCCTGGAATTCAATATGTAGAGCAGGCTGGTCTCAAAATTCCCACCTGCGTTTGCTTCCAAAGTGCTAGTATTAAAGGTGTGTACTATGTACCACTATGCTCAGCCTCTCACATTGGTCTTGAAGAGGTATGCCTCAACTCTCTCTCTCTCTCAAAAAACAAAACAAAACAAAACAAAACAAAACAAAAGAGTCTCTATATAGCTCAGGCCAGCCTAGAACCTGTTTTGTAGTCTTAGCTGGTCTTTTACTTATGGTCCTCCTGCCTTAGCCTGTCTAGTGATGGGATTACAGGCATGCACATATGCCCGACACTTTGTATGCAAACCCTCGGACTTAGTATAGCTAGTTGTCAGGTGTGCTGGAACTGGTATTCAAAGTCACTTTAGTGTGCCAAGGTGACATCCCCAAATAAAGGTGCACCTATAGCATAAGGTAGGCTGTGTTTGTAACCTCCATAGATTAGTGGATTTAGCCATCAAAACAAGAGAACAAGGTTAATTTAAGTTTTGAAAATGAATACTTTTTAGTATAAGTGTGTTTCTAACATTGCCTGTTTGCAGCATTACATGAACATACTTATGTTAATAAATTAAGTTATTAAGGTATTGTTGTTTACTTGATTCAGCTGGGTAACCTGTATTCTACCTGGCAGGTCCAAACTCTAGGCATTTGCTTATGGCAATCTAGAGTTAGCTTCTTGAGTCAGACTGGAAGGTTTGTGATGAGGTAGGAATGAGGTAGTCTAAGCTCATGCCTTCTCCTTGGGTGTCCTTCCTTCATTCCCTACTGCAGCTGTGGTGGGATTTCTTGCTTGTTCACATCACATGGACAGTCTGTAATACACAAATGCTTGCCCATGCAGGTAGGGTGTTGACCTTTCACCCATGTCTCCTGTGACCTAGACAGTTTGTTCCTGTCCAGATTCAATTGTTTTTATTTTCGTCTTCTTTTTTTCAAGTCTTTTAGTTATAGCTTCTCAGCATGATTAGCAGAGTCAAGCAGAGAACACAGGTCTCTGGTTGGAAATAAGATAATAACAAATTCAAGAGGCTAGTGGAAACGGAGCAGTTTTAACATACCATTTTGTAGAAGGGACACAGTATAGAGAAAAGGCAAAAATGGCTGGCAGACTGATTTGGCATGAGATGATGTTTATCAAGTTGTTCAACTGGCACCTTCTATTGGCTGGGGCTTATCCCAAGCTCCCCATCTCATAACCTCATCAAATGTACAGTTGAGTCTACCGTTTCAGATTTTGGGTTCAAGTCTATAGCAGAGGACCTAGTCCTTTCTAAAACTTCTGGGTTTGGAGACAAGCAGCTGTGAACTAGGGGAAAGAGGGACCTTTGGTCTGTAGTGTAGTGGAACATAAATGCACCTTGTGCTGAAAATGGATAATCTGGTTTTTACACAGGGATTTAAATACATGATGACCTCAAGGAGTGGCCTAATTAGAGAAGTCAGTACAAATTATTGTAACAAACTAGCACAGTACAAAACAATGCAAAGAATATACACTTTGTAAGTGTAAGGATAGCCATTACCAACTGATTTATTTATCTATTTATTTTATTGTTGGTGTTATTTGGGGAGGGCACACATACATACACACACACACACACACACACACACACACACATATATATATATACATACATACATATTTATGCACATGTACTTTCATCTTTTTGAAAACTTAAAGTATGTGCAGGGAATTCTTCCCTGTTTTTGGTTATTTTGGATTTTTTCCTTAGGATTTATGTTTTTTAATTTAATTGTTCTGGAGATTATAATGTAGTTACAACATTTTCCCCTTCCCTTTACCCCCTCCAAACCTTCCTACATACCTCTCCTGGCTCCCTTTTGAATTCTTGGCTTCATTTTGGTTAATTGCTGTTGCATGCATATATATATATATGTATGTATGTATGTATGTATGTATGTATGTATATATATATTTATTTATATTACTAAATATAATGTGTTTCTCCCCCCATATTGTATTGCAGTTCACCCATATCCTACCTTCATACTATACTGTGATTATTTTCTTGTTTTATTAAACATTCTTTGAAGAAATGTTCACAGTTATTTGATAGTTCACTGAGGCTTTCTTACTATACCAAGACTTCAATACACATCACTGTATATAATTCTGGGATTGTTTTTTGAGGCTGATTATGGGTTTTCACAAAAAAAATGAATTATGGAATGGAAAATTTAAACAACTTGAAGAATTCCAATACATTTTAGTAACTAGTTTTTTTATTGAATTAAGAACCAAAAAGCAGAGCTGGGGGTATGGTTCTGTCTGTTGATGGACTGTACCCAGCACCACATAAACCAAGGATGTTGTACAGTTCAAGGGCACTCTGGGTACCTATAAAATCTGAGGCCAGCCTGGGGTTAGAAACCCTGTCTGGTGTTCACTTCGGCAGCACACATTCTAAAATTGGAACGATACAGAAACCCTGTCTGGAGAGAGAGAGAGAGAGAGAGAGAGAGAGAGAGAGAGAGAGAGAGAGAGAGAGAGAGAGAGAGAGAGATTTGGGGGTGGGGTGGGGAGTTCTCACCAAAATTCCATTCCTTTTGTGCATTGGTTGGGCCATGATCATGTGACTTGTTGGGGCTCTCCCCTTCACAGTGTACAGTGCCTTCTTTCTGCCTGTCCATTGCTGACACAAACCCACCACATGCTTCTGTCTTTGTTTTCAGGTGGGTGATCTACAATGACCACAAAGTTTGTGCCTCAGAAAGGCCCCCCAAAGACCTGGGATATATGTACTTTTACCGCAGGATACCAAGCTAAACCTCACAAGAGTTGGCTAGAAGAAGCCATACACCTTTATAATTTGCCAAAAAAGAAAAAAAAAAAAAAAAAAAAAAAAAATAAATGAAAAAAGTCTGGACAACTGGACACAGAGGACTACATGGTTATTTATTGCTTCTTTCAAGACTGGGGTCACTCCACTCAACGCCTTCAGGAGAAGAACTGGGAAGAGATTTTTGTTGCTGGCAATACTCTGTTGTGGAGAATTTTGTAACTGTTCAGGGAGCAGGTGATATAAGCAAAGACATTGGCTACCTGCACATCAGATATGGAGTGTCCTTCCCTCTTCTACTTTGGGGGTTAGTGGTGAGGCCTCATCTACAGTGAAAAAAATGCCCCCAAATAGGAAATCAAAATCTGGGCTGTTTTTTATTTGTGGCATCATGTTTTCATTTCCCACAATAATTTCTGCCCTAGCTATGTGTACCAGGAATCTGCAATGGAAGCTATGTTTAATTTAAATCATATCAGAGTTAATAATACACTGTGTGAATGTGTGTGAGAATGTATGTGTGACCTTTGTAGTCTACTGGAAATCTGATGGGTTGGTGTTCAAAGGCTAAGTAGTTGCCATTAAGCATATTTGGAAAAGACAGGCAAACATTTTAACAAACCTATAACTCAGGAACAGTTGTTAAAAATTAGTTCCCCACTTGGAATTTTAAGGTGTACAAAGGGCTGTGTGTGGCCCCTCAGTGCTGTCTGGCATTCATGTGAGTGTGTGACATTTGACATCAATGCCTGGTGCCCAAGTCTTGTCCTATTGTGCTTTGCCAAAGGCAGATGGCTTCTCTTCCTCAGCAGCGTAGCCCCTCGAAGCTTCCTATTTATCTGTAGTTAGATAGCTGGTCTCTGGCCCTGTGCTTACTCCCTGGAGTTGTATTAAATGCCCTTGCTTTGTCTGATTTTTCTGGTCCCTGAACTTTCTTACGTTTTCACTTCTCTACTTTTCTGGGGCCAGTCTCATCTCTGCCTTCACTGTCTATCTGCTGTGATGCATAGTGTGACCTGGGGCACTTTAAGGATGTGAGCTGCAGAGACACGTCTGTAACATCTGGACCGCTGTCCTTTCCAACTGGCCATTTCAGTGTCTTGGCTGCAGCCTGAGCTTAGGGCCAAGCTCTGGATGTGCTATGGGGAGGAATGAGCTCGCTATCATTTACTCTCTGCTTTTCGCCAAATTCCAGCCTCTGGAGTTTCTAGTTCAGACTAGTCAGTGAAGTGGAAAAGGGTTTACTGCTATCTGCTTAACGTGTGCTTCTTTGATTGAGAAGATCTTTCTAGAAACTGCAGAAAAATAAAGAGGAAGAGCCAACTGGGCCGAGTGAAGCAGAGGCGTGGGGTTAGGATGTGGTGAGTTTGAACAGCCAGGGACCTGTTAAGCTGGGACCCTGTCTCAAGGAACGTTATATGTGCTACAAGCCTGGGCTGCAGAGCTGGGGCCAGAGGCCTGGGAACCTGGGTGCTGCCTCAACTGGCTATGGGCCTTGGCAAATCCTTCCTTTTCCTGTGCCTCACTCTCCTCATCCGCATGTTGATGAGGTGAGATATCTCCTCTTTCTAGCAGGCTTTGACCTGTGCTGAGGAACCTTCACAGACAGCAGAAGGCAGAACACCGTGGATACCAGGGCAGTGCCTTCTCAACTCTGCTGACACTGTTTCCATTTGGGAACAGATGCCATGGCAGAGGGAGGGAGTGCATGATGCAGTAATTCTCTACAGCTCTGTCCCACTGACATCCTTCCAGGCTTGACTTGGAGATCCTAAGTGTCTATTTTGTGTGTCCTGACCAGTCTGCCCCCTACCCCTTGGGAATTCCCACACTAAGCAGCCTTACAAAACCCACTCCCTATAGGGCCACATGTCATAGAATAATGACCCTAAACACACATCATCAGTGGCTGGTTTGCAGTGTTACAAAGCAAAGGCCTTTTGTGGGGGTAAGGGGCTCTCTGGAGGTTTGAACTCAAATGTGGTCAACGATAGCATGTATATTTTGAAAAAAATTTTTTAATAAAAACTTTGCAATATCAATGGTGTAAAATCCACATTGAAAATTTAGGAAAAAAAATAGGCTATAAACCACTTAATTTCATTAGGTAGACTAATGCATAGACGTACTTCTACAAAGTGTAGTATGGCTGCCTCTCTCCCTTCCTCACAAACACAAGGGCTATTTCATGGCAAGGTTTTGTATTTGTGCTGTTCATTCATATTGGGTGCACTGGAGTGAGAAGTGTCTTTCTTATTAAAAATGTGCTTGTATGCATCTCCTGGTATATGCAAACCAGGCTTCTCTGGAGTAGCAGTGGGATGTACCGTTAACCTTACACATGCGTGTAGACAGGACACTCTCTTGTGGCTGTAACTGGAACAGTGTGTGGTTTGTGTCTGCTGACCCACCTGCCAGGATTCTTCTGTGTGAGAATGTGGTGGTGTGTTTGTGTGGCTTTCTCTCTGCGTGTTGCCATCTGCGTGAAGGACAGAGCTTTCTTTCTGTAAATATCTTTTGAGATCCATTTGTGTAGACTCCCAATGTGTCTTTGGAAAATAGATCAAAGTTTCTGTTTTGTCACTTGGTTTAAATACCCAAATAACTAGTCAGAAATCCAGTTTGATACAGAAGGGATTTTCTTTTCTTTTTTTTTTTTTTTCTGAATGAAAAATATTTGGGAAGAATCATATTTTAGTGACTTTTGTATGAATGTTGTTTCAGTTTTGGAACTGCCTAGCCTATTTCCCTAAACCTACAAGAGAATGTGCCTGCAATACCTCCTGAATCCCTTTGGGCTCCCATCACCTGAACTGCACACTAATAAGTGGGCTTATGTCCTGACTTTGCCTCTCAGTGTTATCTGCCTGAGTCATTTCATCTCTTTGGGCCTTTGTGGATCAGGAGGTTAGACCTGATAACCTGGGAAGTAAGTCCCCATCTGCCCTATAACCCCATTTTGATTTTACTTTCCTGTGATTACAACCCGAATCAGACATGAGCTGGGACCATCAGCCGTTTAGGTGTCTGAGTCTGCTCGTGTTTGTTTGTCATCGTTAGTATACACGCCATTTCTGTTCCTGGTCTGTTTTTGTTGGTAATCCCATTTCTCCCACCTTTCAGCTCACAACCCTTCAGTGGGTGAGGCCCTCTGAGACTGTCCCTCTCCAAAGCAAAAGCAGCAATGTATTCATGACACCCTCTTGGAAAAGTCTCAAAGTTTCCTTCAGCTCAGTGTAAACAGTAAACGTTTTAAAATCTAGATTCCCCTGAAGACAGCCCCTCTCCCAGATAAGCGCTGGCAAAGCTGTCTGTCCTAGAAAGGGTATTTAGAAAGTCTGCCTTTGTTGTCATAGACACCACAGCTGCAAAATCTCACCTTGGGTATTCAGAGCAGCTGCCAGGAGACTGGGCAGAACAGAGGATGCATTGCATACATGTGCTTCTGCGTGGGTAAAACTCCCAGGTATCAGGTCTGCATTGATAAGTTGGTGAGTAGAACCACCTACTTGATGCTGCCAGAATTTCCTCTAATCCTAGTTTGCTTTTCATTGGTGGAATAAAGACCACGAACAAAAGAACAAAAGCAACTTGGGGAGGAAAGGGTTTGTTTTACCTTATAACTCACAGTCCACCATGAAGAGATGTCAGTGCAGGAACTCAAGGCAAGAACCTGAACGCAACTCCTGAGACAGGCCATAACGTATGCTGCTCACTGGCTTGTTCTCCATGACTTGTTCAACCTGCTTTCTTATACAACCCAAGACAACCGGCATATAGGTGGCGCCACCCACAGTGGGCTGGGCCCTTCCACAGCAATAACAATCAGGAAGATGTCCCATATGCTTGCCCACAGGTTAATTTTAATGAAAGCACTTTCTCAGTTCAGGTTCCTTCTTCCTAGACGACCTTAGCTTGGGTCAAATTAAAACAACAACAACAACAAAACCACACACACAAAACTTAATCAGCACACCTATTCAATGACTCAATCTTAGAGTTTGTAGAACACTGTAGCCCTCTAGGGTGGTGGGATTTGGCCAGTCAGTACTGAGATTGTCCTGCACACTAAATCGTGAAGGCTTCAACCAACAGTATGACTAACTTATCATATTGTTTGCCAATGATGTGGGATACATTGACTAACGTAATGGTAACTTAACATTTAAGTTAATTTCACTCTGTTGCCATCGGATTTTATGTGGCTCCTGAATCATTTGGATCTGTGGCTAATGGCCCCTCCATTAGTGCTCCACAGTGTAAGATAGACAGTAACATCCTGTGTATAAGAGGCTCCAAAGGGAAGCTACACACAGCACACGAGGCACTGAGCATGCCCCAACAATTACAAGATTCTTCTGGTTAAAAAAAAAAAATCTTCCCAGTTTAGAGACAAAAACAGGGCATCCCTGGTGGCCTTCTTTACACCTGGCTTTGGAGATGTCCTGTGCATTGGCGCCTGCCTTCCCAGCATCCTCGGGGTGCTGAGGATGTTAGCTGTGGCAGGGCTTTGAGCGTTTGCTTTAGCCCTCAGGCAACCTTCTCTTGTAGTTCCCCTCCCTGGGTGTCCTGTAGTCTGTTCACAGCTGGGTGTGTGCAAAGGCTGGGTAGATCTCAGAGCTCCTCAGCTTGGACAGAGGTTGAGCCCACCTGTCCTGCAGCATTGCTGCTGTTGCTGGAAGACTAGGTATTTATTTATTTTGCACTAGTCACGGTTGGTGTGGAAATTACTTCAAGTATTTGGGAGAGTACTTGCCTTTGTTGGAAAGAGATGGATAATTTATTGCTTTGATAGTTTTAAATTAAAAGCTATTCTCACAAACTCAGGTCCTTTTATGATTCTTATTTATTTTCATTTGAAAAAAAAGTGCCAAATAAACTGATGATGTCAGTGTGAATGGGGAACTTGAGACCATGTCTGAGTTTATCTTTAACCTTAGCTTGGTGTGATAAGGCAGCCTTGGTCCCCAGCCCCAGCAGATGTCAGCACCCTGAAGGAGGGTTGGAATGGTGGGGGTCCAGGAAGCTGACATCTAGACTTCCCTGTTGGTTATCCAGTCACACACAGACTCCTGTGGCCCTGGCCCTCCAGTGAATGTGCTACATCAGGAATTTGGCCTATCTGACACTGTTTCTATTGTGTATAAGTTCCCTATTGCTACTATAGCACATTGCCACATCTTGATTGCCACTCATCATATGAGGCTAAAACCCTGGGACAGGAAGCATTTATTCCAGAACATTTTCTTTTTTTCTAGCTGTCAGGGTCCTGACAGCTTCGACATCAGACGTGCTCACATCTCTGTTGGTGGATCGTTCTCTTAATAAGAACTCCGGGGAGTGCATTAATTTACTCTGGTAATTTAGGACACTCCCACCT